ACCCACACTGTTAAATTGCAATGATGACTTGCAGAAAGCAATCTTGCAAGAAGTCACTGAGAAAGTGAAGGCCAGCAGAAGCTTACACCAATACTTCAAAAAAAAAAAAAAAAAAAAAAAATACAAAAAAAACCCCAAACCCAAACCAAACAAAAAACTCCCAAACAAACAAAAATACCACCACAATCAACCCCTCCTACCAAAAAAAACCCCAAACCCTTCCTGTTAAGACCGTTAGGAAACTGTTTATAACAAAGAAATTAATGAAGTGGATCTACACTGATGAGCAGAAAGTATTGACCACCTCTCAGAGAGGCATTTCCCATATAGACAAGTTAAAGGGCCACAATGCAACTTATATACTCACAATTCTGTCAGCACACAACTTGGACTGATCATGCCAGGACTAACTCAGGTGCATCATACACAGTGTGTATGGATGAAGGAAAGAAGTTGCATAAAATTTATTTTTCCACCTTGTTTTACAACATTCCCTTTTAAGTTTTTACACATCTGCAACATATAACTCCACAGAACAATAGATAATTGGCATTCATATTTCTCTTGAATCAAGAGTATTTACACGTTGTTTAACTAGATGACAGGTACAAAACATCGGCACCACAGTAAATATCATTTTGACATCAGAATCCATTTCCCCAATTAAAAATTAAATTAACTTAACATTTATTTTTTTTAACAATTTCAACAATTAAAAATGTTCTCAAAGGCATATAAGTACACAAGTTGTAGTAGGCAGTAGTAATGGACCATATTGGCAAAGCTGTAGAACCCAGGATTTCATGCAAATCAAAGAGCTTATTAATTATGAAATAACTAATAATAAATAAGAAGTAAAAGAGCCCACCCGGCTCATGCTGAAGATTTTAGCGGGCACCGGACTGGCCCCAGCAACTGTGGAGATGAGTCAAACCCCATCCAAACAGGGGTGTGCAAAGCACTGGTGAGGGTGAGCTGCATGCGATGGGAGTTCTCACCCCGGTTTACAGCACTCCTTGCGCAAATCAAGGATTTAGGACGCACCAGATGGTGCAGCAGCTTTCTTCAAAAGATAAAGCCAAAAGACAAGCCTTAGGGATTCACAACTCTCCGGGGCTCCCTGACAAACTCAGCTCAACTACAGCAAAATTTTCCTCGGCAGTTGCAGAGGACGAGAGAGGTTGTCACAGTGTTTAATTGTGATGGTTCAGTAGACCACAGAAAAACACTGCCTTTGGTGCTGCTCAGTTTGGCCCAGCCACAGCTGTAGCTCTCAGCACGTAGTTCTCAACAACGAGGGGCCACCAGGGACGTCACTCATCACTCCCCAGCCCAGTTCTGATAAGACCCTGCACAGATTTAAGCTGCTGCTGTTGAATAAAGAATGTGGCATTTCAATTGCACTACGAGCTGAGCAAAACAAATGTTTGCAAAGATAAACAGGACAAGCTCTATGGAGGAAACAAATACAGAGTTAAAGAAAAAACAAACAAACAATGAAAAGAGTTGCCAATTACTGGAATTACTGCAGAGATGCAAGAAGAGAAGAGTATATGTCACAAAGCCTCCGCGTTAACTAACCACCGCAGCAGCACAGCACAGAGCGTTGGCTTCCCTGAAGCAGCCACGGGAAGCGAGAGCACACTGTGAGACGTACACCGCTACCCCACAGCATCACTGGGAGCACAGTCCCAAAGCACACAAGTTATATGAACTGCTACAGTACATAAACCAGAACAACAAAAAAAGGAATAGGAAGAGCATTAAGTAAGGCTACAAACAAGATACTACATAGAGCAAGAAAACAATGCTTCACTCCCAATAAGCAGATTATGAGCATACTAGAGGAAAAAGACTAAATTAAATTTCCAGCAGAGAATCCATTTATTCAAATGTACAGTAAGTATGAACATATGTATTAAACTTTGCTTTTAAAAACATTTTTTAAATAACTTAAGAGAAATAGATTGCAGACATAAAGTGCTAAACTTGAAAAATACAACAATCATTCCTCTTTCCTGCTGTTTGTTAGATGGCAGTTTTAATTTTCTGATTGCTTTTAAAAAATGCAGTGTATACCCGGACAGAAATGACTTCCTGGATTTACAACCTTGTGCAAAAAAAACTAGCTGCAAAGGAATATAATTTGCACTCCAAAACACAGCTACAGATTACTATCAATTCTATTAAATACGCGTTCCTTATTAAAGTTAGGATTCAATAAATATAACCGAAATCACAAGTCACTCCCTTTCTTGGTGTAAGCTAATATTTTGCAAATATGGTCCACTCAGTGTAAACTGTATTGACTTCAGGAAACAGTGAATTCTACCATATATACGTCTCAAATATTTACATACAGTAGCATGGCACTGTCATTCTTGCAGGACATTTAACTACTAATACACACGAGATAGGGACAGGGCTTTACAAAGACAGGTACTGTGACGTGTTTGCCAAGAGGGACTTGACCCCTCACTCACAAGAAGTTGCCAAAAGAAATTCTCGATTCTTGTATTTGAATCTACTTAAATCAAATGCTGACTGGGGACTCCAGAACACCTGCATGGCCCACGCAATCCAGGAGCTGTAGCAAGTCATGATAAAGACAACATTAAGTATCTTTTTGTCAAAGTGGCATAATTCACAAAAGGCTGTTGGCCAACTCCCCCACAAGTGGGCTGTTCAGGCACTGCTTTTCCTCCATGAGACAAAGTGTTGGACTTCTAGGGCTGTTCCCAACAACAGCATGCATGTCAAATAGGTAGAAATGTATATTATTATTATTTTTAGGAGGGGGGAAAAAAAGAGAAGAGGAAAGAAATGGCAAAATATTCAAAATATTATGAAAGGGGGAATACTAAGAATTAGCTTTCCTTAGCCAGTAGGTTGTTTCTGAAGGCGACTGCTGTATGTTGGGACTTCAGACAAAAGCCTAATCAGAAGACTGGCACAAGAGAAAACCAGTGAGTTAGATTAAAGAGTGTTTGCTGTTCTTATTCCTGAATGATTTTGAAACATAATTTTCTAAATTAAGAGAGAGCTTCCCCCCCATGAAATAACAAGGTCATATGGACTTGCACCTCTCTCTCACCCCGACCCACACGCATTACGAAGGACATCCAAGTTTTCCCTATATCTTCTGGAAATGCTTCCCTTCCTCTTTGATATTTACTCACAGGAACCGAGAGCAAGGAAGGCAGGTCAGGTTCTGCAAAACATTCCCCAGAGCAATCACCACACAAGCCATGGCTATCTGAGATCTGAAAATTTAAGACGTACCACTATGGGTCAACACAGACTCCAGCTCTCCTTTTAAAACAACACTCCCATTTTCCACCGATTTTCACACCAGACCTTTTAATGCATCATTGTGCTCCTTGCGACAGTGGAATGCCTGTAGCAATGGCAACAGAGGCTGGCAGCCCGTTAAAGAGGTTCAGCACGGCGCAAGGACAACCAGGGAGCTTCTGCTCCTCACACTGGTGTGGTTGCCCTGACCTGGAAGCGCGGCCTTGAGAGAGGAGAAGGGAGCTCCGGCTCTGGGCTCTGCCCTCCCTGGTCCCTCCACGCAGCCAAGCAGTGCCAACTCCAACGGTGGTTTTTGTGATGTGGAAATGAGACAGCAAGCAACTAATTTGGCACAGAGTAAACAGCCATTAGATGAGGATGGCTGCCAGTAAAAGCTCATCTGTGTTTGATGCAGGGACCCAATGGTAAAGGGTTCTTGTAACTCTCTGTCATTCTCCTCAGCAGCCTCAGTAGGTGTTGCTCTCCTCACAGTGTTATAGTGGGGGTCAATGCTTATTGTAACAACAGAACTCACCGAGTTTAATTTTTGAAAATTAAAAATCAGTAAGTTTGCTTCGCACACGAGCCTAACCCCTTTGTATGAACCCCACGCCTGCCTCTGTGATTCAGGTTTGGTACTTAGAGCAAAGCCAGCACAAGGTTCTCAAAAAACTGCCTCTCTGCAGGGAGCGTGTCATGAACATCCACCTAGGAGTGCCTCAGCTTATTTGCAGCTCATCTTTGCAGTTTTACCCTAACAGGAAACAGATTTCGTGTAGCTGTGAGGAGTAGCAGCTCTGTGACCTTTCCTTTCAGTCTCCAAGGATTCAAGACACGTCTGCCACATTGTCTGCAGAACTCTACGAGTCTCTTCTCACGTTGTCGACACATTTCAAGTTTGATCAACTGCGAATTTCTTTTCCAAAGAAGATTTGCTTTAGTTTAGATAATTTTCTCCTATACAAATAAATACAGAGTAAAGCTATTATGTCACCAGCTCCTTCTAACAGGAAGCACAAAAGCTAAACAAAACTGAATTTCTTCATTTTGGATTACGTTTCTCCATATTTATCAATGGCTGGATACCTCCAAAATCACTAGGGTGACTGACCACATTTCAACTGAAGGAAAATCTCAAACATGCTCAGATTCTCAAGTGTGTGTAGATCCGACATGCTGGAGCCCCATTATGGAAACAGCATGCCGTAAATCAGGAATAAGCTGTCAGCAGTATAGTGCATCACCTACATTAAGGGATTTCCAAGACGTAAAAAAGAATGTAACTACTAGATGTAGATAAATAATATAAACCAACACAACACAATGTAAGGAACAGCACAGATACTTTTTAAAGTAACTTGAGTTTGTCAAATGTAAATTCCAAGGTCAGTTAGCAGCTTTCAGATACTTTTAACCATGCATGAGAAACCCATCGTCATCAGTTACACGCATTTGACCCCAGTTAAGATGAATAAAAGAGACAAAAGCTGGATGAACTAACAAGTGCCTCTGCCCTCAAAAAAACTCCCTTTTATCATTAGGTTTCCATTCACGGCAGTTGTGAAGTCTTTTTCAATAAAGCAGCATGTAATAGAGATTACCACATGATCCTTATGCAAATATCGGACGTATTTGTTATAGTAACAACTACATGATTTTGTCTCTCAGCCATGGGCAGTGTCTGTCTCTGGTGTGCCAGGAGAGCAGCCCTAGGACGTGAGCTTTGAATAGCTTGGTGGAGAAAACCTTCGTCTCAGGTACTTCAGGACGTAGAGGGGAAGGCAGCTCACCAGAGTGATGACAGTGACTTTCCACAAGAACGACAAAGTTGCAATGAAGTAAACATCTGTAAAAAGAAAAGAGCACAGAGTCCCTGATGACGGGAAGTACGTTCTCAGAAGAGGTGCAGAAAGTCAATTCGATCTACCAATGCTTCTTAAACAGCCTCACCTTCTCCACATGTAAATTTAGAGCTCATGGGATCCCTGGTCCCTCATTCTTCTGCCTTTCTCTTCCAAAAAGATACAGCTTTCTGCACAGCACATTTCAGTAAGACATGCAACTCCTCACAGGCAAGCGCCCATACAAACCCCATCTGAGATGGGGGTATCCACCTCCTGGCAACGTAAGCTTCCTGTAAACGGACTACTTGTCTTCGGACTCTGGGAACTGCCCTCTGCTACTTTGCTGGTAATCCAGCAAACGCATCTGTCAATGCAGTTGTAATACCTCTGAATCGCTCCAAAAATAACTGAAGCATTGTTCAAAATGGAGCTGGCATACGAATATGCAAGAGAGATGGAGCTATGCAAGAGAGATGGAGCTGGCCCATTGGGAAGTGATCCTCATTGTCTTCAGAGTTAGCAGAGAGCTTTATGGAAGAAGTAGTGACATCTTGTGGTTCCCAAACGAAAACGGGAGCAAACCCTACAGATCTGCTATTTGCAACTAGACAGCTACTGGGGGAATCTGGAATTCCTCACCCTTTTTCCTTTAGCCAGGGAAAAGGATTAGCTCCGTTTCAGGCAAATAAAAAAAAAAAAAAAATCCAACAACCAAACTCTCAAGAGAAGGGCCCCAATGAAGCAGATAAAATAAGGTAAGTTTTAGGAGGCAGCTTCTTCACCCAGTTAAAAGATGAAATCTTTCAAACCAGCAATGGAGCCTTCAATCTGCAGTCGCAAGTTCAGCTCCAATATGGAAACAAAAACTGCCGTTACATATGACAGCTGATACATGGTGGAGTATGGATGAGGTTCACTGGGCGGTACACAGTCTACTGACCTCGTTTACCTCCTCTAGCATAAAATTATCTTTCAAGTGCCTTCAAATCAAATAGACCTTTTTCTGGTCAGAACCACTTCCATTATAGCTATTGTTGGCTTCATCAACAGCCTTTAAGCTCATTCCAGCTCTTTATAGTCCTGTTACTGTTCAGGTCATGAACTAACTGATTGGAGAAAAGGTGTTTAGCCTTACCAATAAACTCATGTAAGAAGACCAGAGAAGCTATGTAGCAGGAGAGACTAAGCAGCTCAGCCACTATCATGAGCCAGTGCCACGTCTGGATCGTCAACGCCACCATCAGTAACTCGGTGAGAATCAAGGACGTGAAGGAAATAGCAACAATGTGGACAAATTCGGATTCAAAGAGGAGAAGTGCTCCATACATGATGATGCTACCTGCAAGGGAATGGAACATTTGGGTATTTTATTGAAACATCAGTCCAAGCTCTAAAACCCAGTGCTAGGTCTTGGAAAGGCTGGAACACAATCATGCCTTGGGACTGTTTCTCACAGAGTCAGATGAATGCAATGACAATGAATCAGTTACTATTTAGGAGACAGAACTGATGAGAAGACAGGCAAAAGTTACAGTATAGATGCCCAGACATTTATAACCGTCTATCATATTCATAGACACATGGAGATAGGAAATTAATACACGTTATTTTGGCAACTGGAGGTTTCTAACATCACGAAACTCTATCCTCCCAGAAAGCAGCTGGTCACTAACTCAGAAGCTAAAAGATATCAAATACTTCTAAAACCTACTGCATTGCCTCAGTGCCCAGATGGAAGCAAGGTGTTGAAAAGCTCAGTGGATACAAGTTAGACTCTCTTTGCATTACTTTGGGCAAGTTCTCACCCCCTGACACTGCCCCCTAAAAGGAGCACACATTAGAGCACTGTTAATGATGTATTGTTTCGTGCTCCTGTTCTGCCTAGCCAGGGAATGCTCACAAGGACCCGCACGGCCACCTGCACAAATAACTCATGTTAGCAGCATGAGTAATCCGCACCAACATCCATCACACTAGGCTCGTTTCGGAAGGGAAAACCTGCAAGTGACTAGAGCTCGAGCCACAAAGTTCAAATCCAGCTGTGAACTTTCCAAAATTTAAGACTGTTCAAGTTCTCAGTCAGGCTCATCTCTGCTAGCAACTAGCCCAATTGTTTGGGCTGCTGTTTTCGAGTTAGTTAGCACATCAGAGGTGAAGTCACTTTAACCAAATATTGTAACCAGATAGTGGTCTTAGCTCAAGAAGAAATCTTTCCCTCAATGCATCACCCTCTGGCTTTAGCTTTCCACCACTTATGAGTTCTCTATAAATGCCTTGGCTTTGCCATCATAGTTCTACGGCATCACAAAACCATTAGCCCTGTTGTGGGGTTCTACCATATTAAATTTCAGAAGATAATGCCAAGAGAGCTTTTATATTCCTGGTTTCACTCCCTACTGAGGATGGTAATATCAATTAAATCAGTAAATATTAGCTGCTTATTTTGGCACATTTATTCTGATCCTTGTTGATAAAGGAGTTTTGGAAAACAAGAAATTTTGTCACAGAATCATATTGCCATTTTAGCTTAATAGCTCCACATTATTTACACGTTTTCCACAATTCCCTGATTAACACTTACATAAACTATTTGAGTTTGAGGTTACTTGATAAAAAAGGACAAACAGAAAGAAGAGACCTTCTTAGACATATACCCCAATTACTACCTCCACTTTTGGAAAATAGATGCATTGTAATTAGATATTTGTTTTTAGCAGCCAGATTAAAGTGTAAGGGGTATGATCAAGAACCTGAGCTTTACTCTAGTCCTTCATTACAGATGGCTTTTAAGTAACCAGAACTATTGCCACTTCTAATAGACAGCGCTTAGATAAAATACACAAAGCTACAGATTCTGTATTTTGCATGCTGACTGAATAACCAGTATAATCCATAGGTTTGAAAACCTTTTCAAAAGAAGGGAAGAGTCACAAATTCTACTTTACAGATGGAGCAATTAAAGCACTGAAAGGAACTTGCACAAAATTACAAAGGACGGTCCCATTGGGAAGACGCACAATGCTTTGAACTTCTACATCTTTGCCTACAACAGGGTTGACCAGTTGCTGCCAACATTTAGTTTTAGATAATTTCTTCCTTTGGTAATGCTGCCAACATTTGCCAAGACAACAAAAAATATTTATTCATTATCCCAAGGATGCATTGCTAAATTCACTTCATGCCTTACTTAACTTTCCACAATACAAACAATTAGATATTCTGTATTCATTAAAATGTCCAAAGGCACAAGCAGAAGTTGATTTCTTACCTTGATAGATGCTTATTAAGACCCATATTAAAAACGTTTTGTATGATAATGGTCGTCCCTAGGGAGGGGAAGCAAAAAAAAAAAAAAGAAAAAAGAGACAAAGCTCAGTTGAGTTTTCTTCTATAAACATTCACTTACAGATCAACCCAGCAATTAATAAAAGAGAATTTGAAGGTGATTTGGAAAGAAAACAAAACAAATCAACCAACCCTGAGGTACTGTCTTTTTATTCCCATTTTTCATGAGCATGAAGGAGGCCTGGGACTGCGGAAGCTCACTGCTTGCACAGTGCAGTACAACCTCGTCCTTACTGCACACACAATTAATTCAATGCAAAGATGTCTCACGAGTTTAGTCACTGTACTGTGAAATATAAGATGTGTGTATACACACACATATGAATATATTAATATTATATTTCTAGACACACACACAAATCACCATCATATTGAAGGCAGACAGGTTTTAATAAAAGCATCTCCAGCCAACACAGCTATACCAGTACAAAAAACCCCTATGTTTAGACCAGGCCTAAAGATGGTTGGAGAATTAGTGGTTTATGACATAAGAGACAACATACAAGTGAAACCAGATGGAGACTTATTCAGGCTGTTGGAAAAACAGGCTTTGCTTCTGACTGTATCTGTTTAGCAGAAATCCTTGAGGGAAAGGATCTGTTGAAGACTCAGTCCACCCTTTCCTTCAATTAAGAAAGATGTTCCCCGTCTGCATACCCCAGTTATTCCAAAAATTTTCCAGGAAGAAAAAAAAAAAAAAAAAAGAACCTAAGACAAGATTTACCTTTCTGATATTTCTATGGTAAACACCAAATAAAATTTTCTTTGTCTAAGGACAAGGACCTGACTTCATGCTAAAGCTACAAAAACAGCACAGCAACCAAACCTTTAGGTCCCTTTAGATCATCCTCAACGCAAATTTCGATTCAAGAAACTATGTGATAACCTCCTCCCTCCATAAAATAAGCACATCCCTTCCCCCCACCCCCTTGCCTGGCTTTAGGATAGTGCCAAATCCCTGACAATTTCTCTTTCCCCTTTATTTTGGAACAAATTGGTAATATTAAATCCTTAGAATTTCCCACAGAATGGAACTTCTATTTCCCCAGCCGTTTTTAATAAATTGCATTTCATGTAGCATTCAATAACAAACTGCCAGGAAATCTGGTTATATCTGTTAATTCAAATTTGCCTTTAAAACAATTTTGCCTGACAACGCACGATAAAGTTCTGTATCTACTGGTAATATATTTGACTTTACACATTTAGAGAGTTTCAAACCAAGACAGAGATCTTGCCTTAAACCAAAACAGACAAGCAAGAGACTCTCGCACCTTAAGAAGATCTTTGTAAAGCTCTGGGTACAACATTGCAACTTCAGATTTAACATCCTTGTCCAGGACTAGAGAAAACACTGGGAACATCGTGTAAATTGTGGAGTACCTGGGAAGAAGGTGGAAGACCAGTAAATTATCTAAGGTATAGAGGAGCAAACAGAAATGCTAGTCTTCAGAAAGCAAATACAGCATTCTTGAAGTACCAAATGACGTATGTATTATAAAAACTTGCAAATGGAACGCACCAGAGTTTTGCACGTCGGAAAAACCTGCAGAATTTGCTTTTTGAATGGCTTTTGATTGGAAACACTCATACACAGACGATTGGTTCAAGTATTGCAACTTGTGTTATAGGGTTATTAATAGAGCCAAGGACAGACCTGTCCCCACCCCGAAGTCTGCTCTACCGTTCAGGCTTGATCCTCTTTGCATCAGAAGGCAATGGAGATAATTAAAAAAAAAAAAAAAAAAAGGACAGCAAATTTATGTACTCAAAAGTCTATAAAGTCATGGGAAAGTGTAATCCCAGCATATTTTAGACAGGAACTGATTCCTCCTGGTAAGAGGTTGGGTTGTCCCCCCTTTCTGAGGCTGTCAGGAGCTGGGCACTGGCTGTCAGTGCTACGCAGGTGTAGAGCATAACTGTCCCTCTGCTTTTGACTAGGATCGAAGAAGCGCTTCCTGAAGGTTGGTTTGCTTCTCATGTTCTGAATGTGACAAACTGCCCTTTTGGAAAGGCTTCTAGAAGTACTTGTGCTGCCTCGGTGGCATTGCTCAGCGCAGAGGAACAGAAAGGGGACAAGGACCACAATCATCTTCTGAAGTGGTGTTGTGAAACATGCAGAGTGAAGACGTGCATGCCTTGCATGTTAATTAGCCCAAATCTACTCATTATGCCCAGGTTTTCCCCACCATTAGTAAAAAGTGAACTCTTACCCAATGATGAGAAAGCCTTGGTAGAGAGGAACTGACGCAAAGTAAAATACTGATGAGAAAACAGCCTAGAAAAAAGAAATAAGCTTTTCAGTCATTAGATACTGAAGTAAAAGTAACGGCTTAAAAATATACCCTGTTCAAACTGGAATGTACTTGAAGCAGGTTCTCCAAATTCCTGAAATGAATGCAGAAGAATGTAGTATCAACCCTTTTTATTCCTACGCAAACCCTGGATGAAAGCTATGTTTAATAGCAAACACTGGAGAGCTGGACTTGGAAAACATTTTGTAACATAACTCCACAGAAAAGAACATAAGGAGTTTCCTCCAGAGCCCACTGGTTTGATCAAAGCCATCCAGATGCTGTGAAGGACAGGTGCGTACTTATTTATGCCTGGACAATGCCTTCCCAACGTAAAGAGCAAACACTTGCCAATACAAAATCCAAATAGTTCAAGATTAATTTTTCTTTTGTCACAAGTTATGGGCTTATTTTCTGTTCTTGTTTTTAGCTGCCGGGTAAGCTAGAGTGTCCCCTGAGTTTGAACCTTTTGTCTCGATGTATCCCTCTCCAATGTGTTTATTCTAAAAAGAGAGTAGGGCAGAACCATCTCAAAAATATCAAGTGTTTTACTTAAAAAAAAAAAAAAATTAGTGTTTTTAAGGAATATATCTGTATGCTATGGTGTGGAAATGCAACTCCCAAAGAGTAACCTCTGTCCTTAACTGTAACTTTCACCCAAGTCACCACAGCTAAGAATGGGACTTAGCTCATGAACTTATAAAGTCTCTTTCAACTCTCCCTGCTAACTGGCAATTGCATTTTTATTACGCTGAGGCTCAGCACACATAAACAACGTCAGTTTTGTGAATACCAAATCTGTTTCTAAGGTTCCTTTTGAAATGGAGAGGAACAGACCACCTCCACGTGGCTGCAGCAAGATGCTGAACGCTTGGGAAGGTTCACATGTGCTTCAGCAGCCTTTGTGCACGGCTCCTCTGAACACCCCACAGCACACCAGACACAGCTTCCCGGAACCTCAGTCAGGGTCTGAGCCAGGTCCTCCTCAGTTACCTAAGTAAGGCCTTCAAATAGTGAGGCTGAAATTAAAACACATCTGAAAGTAAGTGCACTTTGTCAGCAGAGGCCTTGACAGTATTGCCCTGCTTCAGATGCTCAGTATTTCCAAGCATTACTAAATAACAGCTGCATGAAAGCAGTGGTTTCTAAGGTAGACTATTGTTCGTCCAATTTTGAAGAAGCTGCTGATGTTTGTCCAATACCAAGAACCTTCTTATGTGTTTTCATTTCAAAGTAACAGCTTTGAATTACAACCCATGAAAATTTCCAGAATGAATAGTTGCACCCAAAATGAAACACAGAACCTTCACTTTTTTGATTCTGCTTTTCCAACTCTCCATTGCAAAAGCCCTCGTGACAGTCTGTTTACCTGCATTGTGCTGATGCACAGGCTCCTGTGGATTACAAACTGACTGAGAGCTGCAGACCGTTTGTAACTGTTCCTTCCGTGTACCATTAGTAAACGACCCAGATGTTTAAACTGAGTGATAGAGAAGTCGGCTGCAAGCGATGCCTGTTTTCCTTCCTGCGGACAACAGCAAGTAAAAGCATAGTGAGATCACTACATTATTTGAGACAAAAAAAATACCGTATTATTGTTTAGTTATCGCTGACAGAATTTCCAAGAAAATTTACAATACATTAGGTGGGGGAGAGTATTATCTCAGCACTTCTGCCTTCCACCGTGGCTTTTAAGCAAAGAGCAAAAATATGAAGCGAATTCCCATTTGAACCCTGGCCTCCAACTGCAAGCAACCCTCTGGATTATGATTCACAACACGCATGTTAACGTGACACTCATATCAAGTCCGTTCTGAACACAAATTCTCAGTCTCAAAAGTTCACTCCATTTTAATGTTTTGGCTCACTGCAAGCGGAGTCCTTCCACTGCCGCCAAATCCAGTCTTGTCGCTCCAGGCAGCTCCACATGCAGGAGCCAGAGCTCTGACCCAAAGTTTGCTTTCTAAACTAATATAACCAGGTTTTAATTGTACATGTAGGGTGTATGTTATCAGAGCAATTACAACTCCAGCATTTGGAGCATCTGCGCATGACTAAAAAAGCCCAAACTAACCAAACTCAGGGAATCTGCCAAGAACCAAATAATGAACTTGAACTCTGTCAAATAGTAGTCGCCTTTACAGCCAAATTATTTTTCATGATAAGGCTATCAGTCTGATGACTACTCTTGTGGAAGCTTCTCGCTTTCTTGCACAAATTTCTGAGGACTCATTTAAGAGTTTGGTGCAAACTAGCTCCTGAATTGCCACAGGAAATCTTACTAAACACAAGGTAATCTCACCTTTCCTTCAACTCCAACACCACAGTCAGCCTCCTGAATCATGCTAACATCATTCCCTCCATCACCTGCAGGTCAGAGCACAGACAAGCGACATCGGTAGTTCAGCAACAGAGGCAATTTGCAACCCCACCAAAGGAAGAAACATTTAACCCCATCAACAAAAGCAGTATTTCAAATAGAAATCATGAATTTAAATTCTTAAAGAAGTCCCACAGGTCACTGATCACTTTATCTGACTCGTATGTGTACCATTGTATCTACAATGCTGAAATAAAGCTCACAGATGAACAATGGCACTTTACCTGATCAAGTTCAAGCTCCGTTTTGCAAAGATATCACCCCAAATATTTATGACTAATTTGTCACTGAAGTTGCCATATGCAATATTTCATCTTATCAATCATCCTGCAAAATCACTGTTCCCTAACTCAGCGTTTCCAGGCCATATAAGATGACACGGGACTGTTCACTCAAAAGAAGAAATAATAAAGACACCATCCTAGACAGTGACTCCTCTCTAGCTAGTCCCTTACCCACTGCACAGGTGAGTTTGCCGGTCCTTTCCTGGAGCAATCGCACAATCTGGGCCTTCTGTGTCGGAGCGCATCTGCAGCAGACAACAGCAGGGCACTGGCAAGCCAGCTCCATGAACTCATACTCATAGTATTTCAGACACACCTAATTTACAGAGATCAGAAGTGTCACCAGCGTCTGTGCTATGCAAGTTTCTTTAAAAAAAAAAATAAAAAAATCCTAATTCGGCCACAGTGTTTTGGGGCTGTTCCTGAACAGCCTGAGGGGTCTGGAGCCTACCTCCAGCGAGTCGCCAGAAATAACGAGAGCGCAGTCGTGTTTCCGACGGAAGGCGTTCAGCTCAAGGTGGGCTTCTCCACGGTTTGTCACCTAGGGAAAAAGATGGTAACTGAGGAAGTGTTTGCTTCATCGGGGTGAAAAAACAAACAAGTCTCAGACAGAGCAAAAGCAATATGGACAGGCAGCACACCGAGTTACTCAGAGCACACAGCAAGATAAACAAAAGCTCAGGGAATAGAAAGCTGGGCCAAAAGCATAAGAATATTCTGGGTCTGCTGTTGGAAAAACAGTTGTGGTCTCAGCAGCCCTCCTGTCCCAGAATTTGGGGTCCCAAACAAGTCTTGAGAGAGGGGAAGGTGGGTGTTACTCACTAGTCTGAATATATGGATGTCCTGTGTCCGTGTCACCAAATGTGCATTCTTGGCTGTACACGTGGCTGTTTCTAACTTATCCCCTGTCAGCATCCACACCTAAAATCCAAATATTTAATGTATTAAATACAAAACTTAACAACCACGTCTGCAGGACATCTAGAAGTACCACCTACCAGTTCAGGCATACAAATGGACTGCTATAACACACATACAAATTATTTTTCTAAAAAAGCCCTATTTTAAAACATACAAGAAAATTCTCACAGATGAAAGAAAGCAAAACTTTTGAAAAGGCTGAAACGCAAAAGAAGTTACAAACTATGTATAACATTTTTTCCCACCTGCAATATTTCAAGATTCTGCTGATAAACCCACAAAAAGCAAGCTAAAGAATGTGTATGCGTGTGTTACTATGTCCCAGCCCAGCAATTTCTCGTACGCTGAAATCAGTGGGCCTTGCTGCACAAAGATCCCTCATGGCCCTGCCTGAAATGTGGATGATGCAACTGGGGTTAGCTCACTGCTGATGTGTGCATCTGGAACAGACTAAGTTGGTTGGGTTGGGTTTGGGGTTTTTTTTGTCGTTTTTTTTTTTTTTAAGTTTTTTTTTTTTTAATATACACTGCTCCTTTTATTTTGTGCTGGGGGGGCGGGCATTAGAAAGCAATATCAGCAGCAATACTCAGCAGCAATACCCTGTTATAATCTGGCAGGGAATTCCCTCAGCAGTGTAAATATATCAGAGTTTGTTTTGTTTTTTCCACTGGTGTTTTTATTCTTTCAAGACACCGCCCAAGAATATTTAACAAAACTAAGAAAAAAAACAACAACCGAAAAAACACAAAGACTCACTTATTTGTTTAATAATCTGAGGTTGGAAAAAGATTTGATCTTAACAAGATGGTCCCTGTAATGAATTACAAGACTGCCTTCACTCTTGATTTACTCCTTGCATGCAATACCCTAATGAACATACCATTGCAAGGAGCCCTCAGAAGTGCCGCACTCACTGTGCAACGACACACTCCACACCCCGACACCCACTCCAGCCAAGGTGAAGAGAAAAAATGAAACCGCTTTGGAATAATTGTCCGGGACTGCGCCGCAGGGGGAGAAATCCACAGTGCTGCTAAGGAGCTTTGTCTGATTCTGCTCAAGTCCCCGCTGTTTACAGGGATGGCTCCAAAGAGAAAGCACTTTTGGAAGCCTGTCCCAGGCCTGGAATTCCACTTTCTACCTAAATCCCAGACACACAGTCCTGCTTTGGATTCACAATACGGCTCAATATTTCACCCACTTTGTTACTTAAAGGACAGAAACCACAGCCAGAACCTTTTGCCCATTTTTCTTGCCCGGATCCGAATTTTTAGTCCATTCTTCCCCCTTTTTCAATTCCGGGATCTGACCGATGAGTTTTCGGAAAGATAAATTAAGGTTCCCTCACCGCTGAGCGGAGCTCAGGCTGAACGTGTCTCCAGTCTCAGATGCCAGAGCCCAGAAAGCTGGAAAAAAATTTGCAACCCCCGATTCTCTTGGCTCAGACCCCCTCTAGTGGCTACTGGAAACATGGATATTCACAGCCCAGTGCTTCAACCCCACCACCGCAGTTTGTGCACCCAAACACACCCAAACCCGTCTTGTTGCATGCAACTGCCTGAAAGAAACAATTGCCCAAAAGTCTCCTGTAGCTACTCCCCCTCCTGCCTATGCACTCGGTCTCTCTGCAGGAGGAGCCAGAACACGTTGGGAGAAGAAAAGCACAAAAGGTGACATGCTTTCATGTGTTTAGTTAACATTTACTACTTCCAGCATGTTCTGTTCCCAAAGCGATGTTTGAAATGCATCGGCCAGTCCTGCTGTTCCCACTGGCAAAGAGCACCCGGTGAAATGTTTACCTTGACAGGGCCCCCAAACCGTCTTAATTCACAGTGTGTAGGACAGTGCCACGTACTCCAGAGGGTGTACGTGTTCCTGCTAGGAGTAACATTAGGTTAGGCAGACCTTAATGCCAGCATTCCTCAGCGTCTCCAGAGTGGGTCTGACGTCCGTCTGCAGCTGATCCTCCACACCAGTGAGACACAGCAGCTCCATCTCCATCTCCAGGCTCTCGATGACCGTGGCCACCTTCAGGGAGCGGTCGTGCACGCTTAGCTTCGCCTGGACGTAGCGTGCCTGAGGACAGAGCAGACACAGCTGGTCACACACAGCCAGCCTGTGGTTTTGTGGCATACAGGATTAACCAGCATGAGGGGTAACCAGTTAACCTCCCTCTGTTAACTGTCACTCAGGAACGCCACCTGACACGGCGGGCGAACACGAGGTGGGTGTTCCAGGGCAAGGTGGAAGATATTTCAGGAATTCCGCGTTGTTTTGTCCCTGCCCTGTGCCAGCCGGGCACGCGGCACGTCCTCGCACGCACAAACGCACAGCGGCTGCTGAAGCGACTGCAGACAGCCCGAGAGTGCCCCCCTCACCCCACAGCTCTCGCCAGGGCTTCTGCAGCTAACACATCCACAAACAGGGCAACGCCGAGCCCTAAGCGTTTCCACTATCTCATCTCTGCATTTATCTGAACGTTCTCCTTCACATCTTGCCTGCCCGGGGTAAGCAAATTACTGCTGTGCGTATCGACCCATCTAACAAACCCCACACATGACGCCTGTGTTTCCATGAAGCCCAACGGGGTTATATTCCGGTTGTCTGCAGTTTCCCTGGATGTCGGAATGTAACAAGGAAAATGAAAAGCCAACACATTTCCCCACACAAACACAACTTGTCTTACAAATGATGCATATTTGCAGAATTTATAACCACAAAAGATTGTAAGGCGGGATTCAGGAGCTGTTTTGGAGGGTCCTGGCTGGGATCCAGTTTCATACATATCACTTAAAAAGCCACTTTGATTAAAAGAACAGCAAGACATTGAAGAATGACAATTCTAGCAGAAGCAGCAGGGAGATGAGAGGCAGCATTATCACTGGAGGTCTGTGAGAATCACTTCAGAGACTGTTTGTTTAAAAACAAAGAAAAAAAAAATAAAAACTTACTTCAAAGTCTTGATACTGCTCTTCCGTCAGAGACTTCTTGGCTACAACAAGAACCCTCAGGCCTTCCCGAGCCATGTTACCACACTGGAAAGAAGTATCACATTGTAAACCATAAACTGCATCTCAAGTAAGATGATTTATGCGCAGCATTGCAGAGATGGCAATGTAAGATAGCAGGTTAAGAAAATAACCGTCCCATTTGAGCAACCCCAGTGAGTCTGTAACATCTGATAAAGTGCATGATAAACCTGAGAGGAATAAAGGAGATCTGCAATAGTTTGTAATCTATCCCAGTGATCAGAAACAGAAATGCCCTCTCTGCTACACCAGTGTGGCAAGAACAATCCCATTGATTTCATTTTCTCTGTCTTTAAGGAAAAGGACACAGGCCTTTGATTTGTAGACTTCACATCTTTGGCCATAAACTCTTTAAAATAAGACCAAGGTGTTATCATTTCTTTGAACACCAGGGTATGGGGCTGGGGAGGATCAGTAACTGAAGCTACTGCTATGAACTCTGTGTCAACATTACTACTAACCTGACAAACACATCCCAGTACAAAGCTGCCAAATGTAGTTTTGAAATTAGACCTTTCAGTCTAAAATAAATCCAAACACAGGATCAAGCTGAGGACAAATCTGGTGATGTTGAGTGGCAATCAGTTTTGAGCAAAATCCATTTTATTTTCAGGACTTATTCTGCACTAAATGTGTTGAACTTGCCACCTGCCTTCCTTGTTACTGCATATACATTTGCTGAAGACTATCCAATGAACTGCCAAGATCAGTGACCTTCTAGCTTGCAGATGTTTTAGCAGCTATGTCCACTCTGCCACATAGTCATGTGTTGCCCTGGAAGGAGAAAAGCAGGAGAAAACCTCCGTATGTAGGAGGGACGGCCCCATACCTCCTCTTCCAGCCAGTCGTTGTACTGCACAATGCCAGCCATCACCACATCAGCCCCCTTCATATAGAAGGTGATCTCTCCTGTTGATTCATCCTGCAGATAAAAACCACAAGAGTCTAAGTCGGGCCAATATCAGCATATTTGGAGTGGCCTCAGCACACTAAGTGATGAGTTTTCTGCACAACCGTTAGAAAAATGCACTGGGTCAGGCTGAAGGTCCCTCTGGCTCAGCATCTTGATGATGCCTATTCAATCGCAACTCAGTTACTCGCAGCCGGAATAAAGCCTTAGACAAGGCTGATACGCTTTTTAATCGGCACCGTGGCATCTCCATGCAGACATCTCTCAATCCCGACTGCGTGTGCCTTTGGAATAACCTCTAGCCCTCGCCCTGAAAATTTATTTCATACTTACTTGAAACAATAAAACAGATGCATGAAGCTTAACAGTAAAAATCAGTCTAATTTACCCCCTGTTACATTATATGGCATAAGTATAATTAAAGTTCATGCTTGCCGCAGAAAGGTTAGATTGCTGCCTGCCTTATCTGATACAAGTAATTTGTAGGCTGCATATTTACATTACCACAAATTAAAAAATCCCTTCTAACCAGGCAGATACCTAAGGAGGTCACAGCTATTAGTATTACAAGCTAATGGAAACCCTGGCAATTTCCTCAAAGGAGACAAAACAATGAGTAAGGAACAAACTGCTCTGTAAACCAAGAGAGCCACCAGGGATAGGAAGAAAATAAACTTAACACGCAAAAACAAAGAGCCCAGGAAGGTCTGGAAATAGACATCTATGAAGGAAGAGGGAAAGTACTTTAGAAAAAGAAGTGAAAGAAAAGCACAGGGGACACTTTTCCATCCTCACACAAGTTAATATACATGGTGAACCTGTTCTGCAGTTACAGAAACTAGTCATGAAGGTTCTCACACATGAAGAGTTTGAGTCGGTAGGTAAAAGCCTAATGTCCCATGGCACTGCTTAAACACAATTTACTTCCACAGCAACAACAAAAAAAAAAAGCAGCACCTGATGAGGATGATGAGGATACTAAAAATGCAAAAAAGAGAAAGATGTGTTTTTGCTTGGGAAATTAAGAAGTAGCCAAGGATAACGAAGCTGCTCTACTGAGCATTTTTGCCAAGCTCAAAGATACTCACAAGGAAGATTCTTATGATTAAGCTTAAACATGGTTTTCAATGTCCTGAAACGTCCAGCCTTCATATACCGATACCCACACGTCCCACATCCCCAAAGCACAATGCGTGTCACTCTACCAAAACAACTAGAACCTGCTTAAATAAAACACAACACTTTTGGCAGTAGCCAAAGGTAAAGGTTATTTGATTAAATTATTTGATTAAAAAGTGTCTAACAACATCTCTGTAGGAAACTGCATAAAGACTCCACTTCCCGTGCTGCAGAACTGGCTTAAGATAGTTTAGATTTTTTGTCCAATATAAATACTGTATCAGCTATCTCCTTGCATTAGTCATTTCCTCTCACCGAGTTCAATAGGAGGTTAGTGCGTTCTCATATTATGGTAAGATCACACTATAAATCTACACAGAGATTTGCCAGTTATATTGTTTTGGAGAGGCATCTTTTTCCACCGTGGTCTGACTCTGGCCACGGTTCAAAGGCTTCTTTCAATTCCAGATATGACAATAGCACTATCTTTGCTTTACAACAAAGATCATTCCACACGGGTAAGGGGAAAAAAAAAAAAAAAAAAAAAACGCACCGAAGAAGAAGAATGGAAAATATTGTGGTCAAACAAACAGGCCTTCTTTCAAGAAGAAGATTAAGTCAGTAAACAGTATGGTAAAGAGTGGCTGCTTTGGTAGAACAAGATTTCTTAGAACTGCAATAATCAGCTACAGAAATGACAGTTGATCACAAGTAAATGAGCAGATATTGCAAAAATATCCCAAACGAGGCAACATCTGCTACTTGTTTTCAATATTAACTACTACTTTATTTGCTAGAAGTTATGTGTTGAAGGAGATCTTTTTATAGGAGCCAGAGCGGATGGGACCAGCACAGCAGACGGGCGTCTATGCCAAGGATTTCAGTAACAGCATTACTGGGCTGGAGGCAGGAATCGCTTGCTGAAACTCTAGACCCAGATTGTAGAGGAAGCCTGGCAAGATGATCGCAACGGCTCCCGCTAGCTGAAAAAATGCCAGTTTATAAGAATGGGCAATATCTGTATAGTTGAGCAGAAAATATTACCATTTGAATTCTACTCGCTACAATCCCGAGTACAGCTTCATTCTGCAGCTTCTCCCTCCCCTCCACGGATGCTCACTGTGTCTGTTGTCTTCTGGCTACTTCATGCTACTTTCCCTCCCTTATTTCTGTTTTTGAAATAAGCAGCACAGTTTTAGAAGATACACTGAAGAGGTAAACACCTTGCAAGTCGTGGATCAAAACCAAATAGAGTGCCTACGCATGCATACATGTATGTTTAATAAAAGAAAATGTTACTTGAAAACTACCTGTTTATAAACTTTTTTTTTTTAAATGAAAATAAAAACCCTGCTTGAAGATATTATTTTGGAGTATACAGGAACATGGCAAAGTAATACCCGGGGAGCCAGTATCTGCTACTCAAAACCTACTTCTGCATAGGGTATACAGGGAGCTGATTTTAGTAGCTTAGCAGCAGCTTAACTGCTGCAAAATAAAGACACTCAATTAGCAAGCACAACAGAGAGAGGCCAGTGCTTCTATTCACAGTATTTGCCATCAGATCTGCACCTGATGTTGCTCCCACTGACCACAAGTGGGAGTTTTCCTGGCTTTGGCAGCAACAATATTCTAAATACAGAAATGCAAAATAGGAATAATCTTCTTCCTAAAGGTGGAGAATATAGGTAAATAGATAATTTAAAAGGAATAGGCTTCAAATAAAAGATGAAAAAGAGGGCTCCTTTCCACCTAGGTAAGAAAATGTCAGGGCATCCACTTCTCTGCTGAGCATGCAAACACAGTTTAATGCAGCGTAGCCTGGCTTTGCTGGCTAGTGTGCTTCTTATACCTTTGATAAAACAGAACTTCATCAAAAGTTTGCACCTACAGTAAGCAATGGGAAGGGAGATTGTTTAGTTCTCCCTCCTTTATTGCTAATATTTTTATTCTAGGTCTTGAAAAGTTTGCCTGAAGTCTCCACATCATTTTCATTGTAACAATAATCAATCTCTAAAATTTACACTTACTGTATCTAAACAGATATGCACTATACGTGTTGCAGCTATCCCAGCTCGTGGGAACACTGATGACTGTGTACTTTCAAATGCATTCAGTTGGATCTCTAGATTCACAGATTTAACACACTGATTACTTTGTACAAGCTCAGCCTATCAGCCCACTTCAACGAACATTCCTGCCCTTGGGCATGTTTTAATATTCCAAAGCCTGGAACAACTTGAAACACAAATTTGTCCCCCCTAAATCGTACAGTGGTGTGTGATTCAGAACTTAAAAGCAGTTCCTTGAGCAACCGGAGATCCGGGTCCAAAATACTCAGGTGTGGTAATGCAATTACAGACATTTGCATGAGCTTTAACAATTTTCAATCTGCACTGAATACAGTTTGTCCTTCATGGTTTTGTGAAAATAATTATATGCCCATATTACAGTTCATCTTTATCGCCAAATCTCTTGGTAATAGGAATACTGAAGTTCTCCGTAACATTTGTTGTTGTTGAATACCACCACTGCACTGCTCCATTTTCCACCACCCCTTCATGGTGCTGCTTCTGACAGGAACTAACTGTGCTCTTCCCGGGGTCCAGAGAAGCTGAGATTTGTCATGCTACCAAATGTCAGCCAGTAGAGCCATCCAAATTAATCTGCTATCAAAGAGGCCCATGTGTGCAACACTGGTCCCAAATGCTTCTAACTAAAACCAAAGGCTATTCCTCCTACTGTTGTAATTTAAAGTACATGAGGCAGAAGATATTTTTACACCCAGATAGCAGATATTTCCACATACCCCCAAAACAAATATGCAGCAACCCAGTTTTACCACAAAATAGAAGGAGGGGAGAAAAAGAAAATTAATCTTACCCATTCTCCCTACTCTAAATAACAAAGCTGCAGATCCCATTAAATGATACAACAAATCATATCTTGCCCTGGATTATAGGTTTCATATTCATGTTTTAGATTCCTGGTACCAATTACCTGTCTGTACTTTCACTAGAAAATAACAAGGATGTTATAATTATCTACAAAAGAAATATTCAAACTGCTTCACCTTGTTTGCTTTGCAGGCAAATGGAAGTGCCCTTCCATAGCTGGGTTTATCTTACTAACATTGATTCTGTAGCACTATCCTGACAACTAATGATGACAATGGTGATACCCGATCTCAACTGTTTTTATACACCCACACGTCCTTCTTCTTTAAGGCAAGTTTTTTCTGAGAGTCTGATCTTCTATTGTATTTGTATATAGAACCACAAAGTTATTTGTACAATTTCAGCTGGGCAGGTATTTAGCAGTGCCTGCTGCTGCTGCTAAAGGTACTTGCACAAATGCACCTTTTACCTTAACCTTAGCTATTTTCAAACCCTGTTCATGACACCATGTCCTCGGCATGGCTGCGGGCTCTGTTAAATAACTCAAAAAAAGAAAATCTCGACAGTTCCCTGCGGCTACAAGTGCCTCCTCCTGCGGTGCTGTACTTCCCTGGGGTCTGAGAGAGGTTTCAATGCCTGGCAGAGATCCGGGGAGCACTTCCACAATACCTCTAACAGCATCCTAAAGTTATTTGTCGCATTGGTCCAGGATCCCTTCCTTCCTTCCCACTTGCTGCCGTCTCCATCACCCCCTGTTGTACCCTCACAACTGCTTTGGGGATGCAGTGTAGGCTGGACTCATGAACCTGCTCGGGTTCCCGCTCCTGGCTGACCCCGAGGGGGAAAAGCATTTGTGACCTGGGTTGGCTCGCTGCCCCAATTCCCCATACAGCCCCCCCAGCTCTGCCAGCATGGCTGTGGCATGGACATGACAGGAAGGACAGGAGCTTTTGGATGGAAGAAAAGACAATGCCAGGGACACACAGAAAGGTTTCAAAGTCAGCTCAGGCTTCCCTGGGATGGTGCTGGTGCCTGCTCCCCTGGAGAGAGCAGTCCTGCCCTTACCGGGCTGCTCTTCCTCCTCGCTGTGTCAGCTGCTGTGGGAGGGGACACAGAATTCGGCTCCCAGGGGACAGGGTAACTGAGATTATTTCTTTTGCGGGCTTCAAGATTCCCTGAAACAGCCTTACTTGAGAGATAAAGTGGCATCTCTGTGATTATCAAAGCTGTTGACCCTTGGGTCAGCACACAGACAGCCGAAACATTCACACTTTAGATCTCTTCTTCTGCTCCACCAGTCCCTCCTATGTCCCCTTCCAACTTGCACTTGTAGCAAAAATCTTCTCCCAGCATCTTCTAGCATCCCCAGGGCCCTCGGATTCACAGCCAGAGGGAAATGCTGGAGCATCCTCTTCCTTCCCAGCACCATCCTGGAGGCTCCACTGCACCGCCAAGGATGTGCTATCACGGTTGGTGGCAGTGCTGGCTGTGGGACTGGCTGCACATGCGTCCCCAACCTGACATTGCCCCCAGCGGCACCCTTCAGGAGCCGGTGTGCGCAGACACGGGGGCTGCACGGCTCAAACCCACCCCACAGCATGCGACAAATTAAACACGTGAGTGGGAAGGAGCAGCTGGAGGAAACTGGAAGCTTAGGCTCCTTCTTACTTCAAACAAGGGACCAAAGATCAATAAACCAAAGATGTCTTGGGGCACTACAGCACCTACTGCCAAAGATGGCCAAGGAAAAGGACGTGTCACTAAACAAACCCAGCAATGAGGCGCTATTTAGCTCAAAACAAGAGAACCAGCTTATAGCCTGAGGTAGGAGAGATGGCAAAACTCAGCCAGGAAGAACTGCACAGCTGAGAGCAAATGTTTTCTGTGTCTCACGTTTCGTTAGCAGGAGATGGACAAAGACAGGAGAGCTTACCCGAAGCCACTTACCCGAACAATTATGCCCATGCGCTTGCTCTCGTAGGTGAAGGGGAAGATCTGGAGGATGGTGAAGTTCAGGATGTGGCCACCCGGTGTCCTCAGCTGCACGGAGGACTGGTCTCGGCCCACCAGTGTTAAACCCACGCTCTCGGTCCACTGTACCAGGGCCACCTGAGAGGAGAAGGCCATGGTGAGGGCAGCCAACCCACGCCATGCCTCCACTGAGGGGACAGCAGGTGGGGGCTGCAAAGAAGTTTGTTAATCATTAATGGTGCTATAGAGTGATCTGTTCATATACACAGGTGCTCCTATAGATAGCTCGTGGGCTCTTCCCAAAGTTCAAAGCTTACTAACAGCATTTTCACAAATGCCCTCCACCCAGGCCTGGGGCACCCAAACCTCTGCTTGGGCACATCAGGTAAATCTCTTTACAAACACTTAACACTTCGAATGTGCTCTTTCCAAGCTTGCTGTTTATGGAATCGAGAATTCAAAACGATGCATTCACCCTGGATTTACAGTATCAAAGCCAGAAACACTAATGCAGAGCACATTAAAAATTCATATTTAAAAAGCAAACAAACAAATGAGCTCTGTGTTATATTCTGTTTGGTAATAATTCATCAACAACTTTCCGCCTCTGTACTGATCAGTGAGATGGCTGAAGGTTGGCTCGCAGACGCGTCTTAGCAGAGAACCTCTTCCTCCCAAACATTAAAACAAACAAAACAAAAAACCCAAAACAAACCCCAGGTTTTTCAAGGCACACACCAGAACTCAATTAAATGAACTTTTGCAGGTATCATTTTGATTGCAGCTTCTAGTATTTAAGGACTTACAACACTGAATTCCTTACAGGCTTTCACTAGATTACAACCGGAGTCATGACAGAAGACCAAAGCCTTTATTTCACTTCCTTGACGATGCCCCAGAATCTCCACCTCAGCTGACACATCCATCTAAGATTGAGCCTGCTGAGATACGGGGGTTTAACTCTAGAAGCTGTCTTGGCAGTAATGGATGGGAGCAGCAGCTGATGTGAGCCCATATATCACTGGCCTCCAGAAAGGATCAAGGGGTACTTTCTCCAAACAGACATGAAATACTGTAAGTATTTTACAGTGACATTTTCAAAGGCATGAGAGTGCTGGGGACACGGCTGCTGCCGACTTGAAGGTTAATTATCCCTTGTGCCTTTCAGGTTCTGCCTTTACTGCCTTAAGTGACCACAAATACCTTAGACAAAAATGGAATTTATTTTGGGAAATCACATACATGAGATACAATAAAAGTGGAACCTACAAATACTTGCATTGAGTCAAGATTTTACTAGATTAATTGATACAATTGGGTCTAACTGGAGAATCTTATGTTAGCTCAGCTCCCTTTCATCCACAATTAGGCTTAAAAGACAACATAAAATAAACTTTTCCTTTCATAAAGTAGTCTTAAATCACCAGACAAAAAAAAATTAGCTGAGTTGGCTTTGCCTTGAAAGACCTTTAAATCAATTTGAATCAATATTTGTTTTAATATTAGCAAGTTTTTGCAGGCTTATTCACAAAGATTACAACAACTCAAAGGCTCTTTCAAGCTTATCTTTTTTAAAAGTTTCTTCAAGCCATTCTTAGTGCATTAAAGTGTGCAGTTAGATAATCCTCCTAACAGTCTCCCGGAGCAGAGATGGAGCTTGGCTTTCTAATACTCCGGTTAATAAATAATTATTGAGAATTTTTTCCCAGCATGATGTTACGTGATGTTCAGTGAGTGCAGTGTTGACTTCCCTATGTTGGTAACCTGTAAATGTCTGGAGATACAAATCTCTGCTCCCCGCTCAGCCTGTTAGAGCATCTCCTTTGTGACTTTCTTTCACAGACACCTCCTCCCTCCTTCCCTGCCAGTCTCCCTTAAACCTTATGTCAGGAAGCATTTAAATCTCCCAAAAGAAAAGCCTTGCGCAGAGGAACAAACGGATGAGTAGCACGTCAAGAGGTGCTATGTCATGTACACGGCACACTTCAAACTAACTGCACTGCATTGCACGAGGCCAGTCATTTCAGCTGGCCCCGAGACCACAAAAAGGGGAATGGAAGGGGAAGAATAATGAAAGAAATCCCCCTTTTCCGTGCTGCTCCGAAGCAGGCGTGGGTCCTGTCAGCCCTTAATGGCCCTCCAGGTGAACCGCATTCAGCACCGGAGGGGAAGTGGGGTTGACCCCTTTGAACAGGCCACTTCCCAGCCTCTATAGTACTTAATGAATAATTACTGAGAGGGAAAGTGATATAATTTTGAAGTGTTCCTATCAGATGTACTAAAAGCATTGAAATTACCGTCCCCATTCAATAGGCAGCACAATGGGCCCGGCCTCTGGGAAGTGCCGCGGCACTGGTGGACAACACAAAGTGCTGATGGCTCTTGGGCAGGGTCTGGGCACCTCGGGACGGGGCGCGTGCTCCCAGCTCGGTGCCAGACAGAAGAGGTTTACTCTGCACCATGCAAACAGTAACTGGAGGTGCTCTCAGTCACAGTGAAAAGATGAGAAACATTCAAGATGCAAAATTACATTTACAGCTTAAATCGAGGAGATCTACGCAGGCTTGAAACTCCTCAAGCGCCTTCAAAAAAGCCCATGTGCAGGGACGAGGAGAAATCAGTAAAGTCCCTGACTGCACTCCAGGAGTTTGTGGCTCCGTCCAGGCCAAGTCAGATACAGAACTGAGCACTACAAAGCAGAGCAGCTACAGCAGCTTGGCACAATATCCCCCAAACTTTGCTCTTTCTGACAATTAAATTACCCAGGCCACCACCGAAGTGGATATCAACTAATAAATTTCATCCTAAAGAGACAAATCGATCTTTCTGTGCCACGAGTTGCTCTACAAACATCCCATTTAGGGTTGCCCAGGCAGGCAGACAGCAGGCAGAAACCAATTGATCGGTGCACCCTTTCATGTCCTGGCAGCTGCGGTGGGCTGTCAGGGTTAAAGACTGTTTGCCCAGGAATCCCAGGCACTCTTATCTCTGATCAGATTATATCTATTTCATTTCCCCTGTTAGTTACTGTATGGCTACAACTGACACGCTTGCAGAGCCCCAAGGCTGTAACCGATATCTGAATAAAGATACTTCAAGACTTCTAAATGGCAGCGTGCACAGGAAACAAATTTAGGAAATCCTGCTTTCTGTTACAGGAAATGAATCCTATGCCAACTGGTAGAAATTACCCTTGCTGTTAAAGTAAAGAGAATACAAGTTTTTGTACTCATTTCATAAACTGACCTTCCCTGCCATGGCAATATTTTATTGATATAGGATTTCAAAGGCTGGCTTTAACAGGAGTCCAAAGCCATTCCCCTACAGGGAATGTTTTTTGAGCCATTCCCCTACAGGGAATGTTATTTAACAGCATCACTGTTTCCTCAAGGACTCGACTTGTGCTGATCCTGCGTTTTGTACCATCTAGTATGACATACACAGAGCATGTCTAAATGATATTTGTATATCTAAGACCTATAGACAAGGTTTCCTCAGTGCAGTAAACATATCTGATTTCTGAACCCACTGTAATTCTCTACTTAAGACACCACAAGAAAGGAAAAAAGAATTTAAACAATAATCTTGGGAGAATTAGTTATCACGCTACAGTAACACAAACAAACAATAATCCCTTGGGTATTTGAGACAAATCACTGCATAAATATTTTAAAGACAAAACAATATAAAGTGAAAAAGCAAAAGAAAAATCACTGACTTCACTATATACCACAGTATATATGTAAATAAACACAGGATCTGTGCAAAAATAGCCAGTAAACGCTTTCGGGGGGAAAAAAAAAAAATCTTAAATGCAGATCATAAAAATTCCCATCTGGAAATAATTCTGAACTTGTTTCAATCTAAAGGCAGTTGATTTCTGTAAGCTGTCTTTACAGGGGAGCCCAACACATTAGAGGAGAAAAGCAAGTAAGCAAAACACTGACCTAGATTGTGCGGCAGGAGAGGACACACAGGCACACTGCTCACCGGCTCCAAGGCCAGGGAGGAGTAAGTGCTTGTTGCCACTATAGGCATATCAGTGGAGGAGGGGGAAAAAGCAAAGATGCAGCTTTTGTGTAACACAAACACTTTATAAGAAATGAATGAATTGCCTACTTGAGAAGAAAAACACTACAGGGAATATTTTGAATGTACTTGAAATGTAGAAACTAACTCTGCGTGTCAGTCTTTTACTAATACATCCAACAATTACAAAGTCCTCACATAGCCGGGCTAACGAATAAATTTATTTCTTTGCAAACAATTTCTCACCTGTAACAATGAGGAAAGCCAGCTTCTCTTTTGATGTCAAAGGTGAAAAAGTTATTATCAGAGGCAAATCTGTTTTATCTGGGGCAATAAAAGGAAGAACACTTCAAATGTAGTTGAATGGGTGATACGATCTCATACCATCAGTAGGATTCTTGTGGGAAGTTTCAAACTTCAGCCTCTTTCAATGGCACAGAGCAAGCATCATTGTACAAATTAATAGAAAGCAAATTGTTTTACCTTGGTTACACTAAAGATGATGTATCGAAGAAGCATAACCAATACATGAAACCATATTTTATTCCTCCTGTGTTCATCACAGAACACTCTAATTAGGTTTTCAAAGTTTTGCTGAGGGTGGCAAAGACCACTTTAATCTTAAGTCCTGTATTGAACCTGATCTCTCGAGCGTTCAGTAAAAGTTTCCAGCGAGTTTCTGGAGAGTTGCAAGGTTTCTCTCTCCTGTACCACCCTGTGCAGGCCTGGCTGGACCGGGTGCCAGCAGAGAACTGGCAGGGCACAGCGTTGCTCCGAGACAAACTTCTGTGCACTTCACTCACTCTGCAGAATTAACTCAGGCTGCGGGTCTGTCCCACCTGCATGGGAAGGGACATGTCCGGGCTTAGCAGTGCTACCCAGCATGATGTACAACTTTTCACTTGGTCTGGGAGTTCGAACATGTTGCAGATCATGGACCAGCTGACTTGTGGGAGTGCTCTAACCCCCTCTCACAAGTCGTCCCCCTCCAAAACAAGACAAGATTGCCTATAATTTACCAAACGTGGTCAGAGGGATTCATGGCACTGAACTGCAAAATATACCCTGGACAAAAGGTGCAGAAAATGAGCAAAATTCTGTGATGCAGAGGCTGACACAACAGCCAGATACCAGTCACCATGTAGCTCTGTAGCTTTAGGCAGATTTGGCTGAAGTATATCGGCTGAGAGGACACTTATGGTCTATTCATGGGTTATCAGTGCAATAAACGCATTAAAATATTATCCCCTTCACTGGACTGCAGTACTTTCATGAAATACTTTTTTTTTTTTTTTTTTCAGCAACAACCAAGGTCATAGTTATGTTTTTATACACTCAAATGGATACTGACCTCATCAGGACTGGAGGCCTGGTACACCCTGCAGGAGTCCTCGTAGTGTCTCTCGGCTTCAGCCTGGTCCGTCACCCCGTTGGACTCATACACCGGCGTCACGTTGTGGCACAGCGCGATTGCCTTCACCGCCTCGTGCACTCGGCTGCTCATGGTTTTACGCACCTTCGTGGCCAAGGTAAGGCCCTTCACAGCAGGTGGGTCCTGAGATTGCTTATAAAAAAGAAAATAGAATAAAGTCTTATTGCACCAAAAAAAAAAAAAAATTGAGTTTTTACATTAGTGAAGACCATCTATGTAGCAGCTGTGCAGTCTTGTGTCCCCAGGAATGAGATGCGCTCTTCATACACCTTAACTCAGCCCATTGCTGGGAACACACCCCAGTGTAATGCAACTTCTTTGCCATTGCTACTGGTGGAGTAAAGCGCCCCAAAAGATTTACTGAAGTTTTTGGAACAGTACATTGAGAGAAAGACTCTTTGTTGCAAATCCACCAAACACCAACTGGTAAAAGACCAAAGTCAGAAGACTCGGTGAAGCCAGTTTTTGCTCCACAAAAGACCAAGGGCTTTAAAAACCGAGAGTCAATTGGGTTTCAAGTGCAAAAGAATATAATTGCCAAAAACAGAAAACAGATGACTCGTATGGACCTAGAAAATCTTAATTACATTCATTTAATTTTTAATACTATTTTTAGTATCAGAATGGGAGTCTTCAGATAATTGCACAATTACTAAATTATCCTGGTTGAAGAAGGGACACACAGTGATCTAGTTTCCTGCTCTGTTAACCTTTAGTGTCAAGAGGACAAGAGTTTCACTTCCAGGTCAAAGGCCACAACATGGTAAAAATAAGAGCAAAGAATAAGAACTACAGTTCAAAATGAATCATTGCCAGCAAATGCTTCTCATTATAAGGAATCTCACTCGGTAATGATAAACGTTTTATGAGACATATCCTTTAGCAGTGTAATTCCACATGCTGTTTTCCACACTCGAGTGATTAGGACATGAAGATCTTCAAATTTAACATTGCTGCTCATCAGCACTGTTGCAACAGGCTTTAACCAAATCAAACACTAGCAAACCCCCAGCTGAGGCGCATTTAGATTGACATATAGCACTAGTCACATACTAGACTACTCACAGTCACCAAAAGGTTCTTGACAAATATTGAATACTTTGGCAAATAATTAACCAGTAGTCAAGTTGCCTCTGGAGATCACGTACAAAACGAGGGCAGATAGATCTGAAGTCTGTTTTTTTGGTTTTGGTTGTCTGGTTGTTTTTTTTAAAGTACAGTTCAGTCATTTAAGGGTTTCGACCCCAAGAGAAGAACCAGATGCTAAGAAGGCTGTGAAAGCAGAGGAGGGAAAGACAGAGATAGCTAGAGGAGTTACAAGTTACCTGAGACACATGCCAGTGAAAAAGATAGTTGGTAAATACCTTGTATTTTGAGTAATTATCATATGCTTAGTTAAAAGCACATTGTAGTCTGCCCAGGGAAAAGCTACGCCACCAAACAGATCACTGAGGTCAAGGAAACCTGCTGTGCGTCTTTACCACCATGAACAAAATCCAAAAATAAAAATCCTATTTACAGTACATAGTGCCCTTTTCCAGACAAGAATGCTGGCTTCGTGTTTCACTTTGTGGGGGGTATAGAAAGAGCACTTCAGTCTAAAAATCTCTCGAGCACAGCAAAAACAATGTGACATGAAAAACCCAGTTCACTGCATTGGGTGTGCACGCCCAAAGAAAAGCGCACGTACTGCGAGAACAACTTCTGAGGTTTCTGTAGGAATGAAGCAATTCCACAACTACTGAGGAATGAAAATGCTTGACACACGACACAGGAGCAGTAACCCATCACTAACGTCTGCAGATTGCATCTGTGGAATCACATGTCACAAAAGAAAAAAAAAATCTAATTGTCAGTAAGTCACAAATAAAGTTATTTCCAGCTGCAGTTGAGAGAATGGTTATTAACAAAATGAAAAATAATGCTTCCATGATTACGTAATTAGTGACAATTCTTAAATCTTGAAGTACCACTCAGCTGTCAGTGGCTGATGTTCCAGGCACCCCTCTGATTTTTTCTTTTTTTTTGAAGGTAGGAATATTCTTAAGTAAAACCTCATCCTTTGTTTTACAGAGGAAGTGCATGTATTTATATGAAGTTTCAATTCGTAAGCATCCCGTCCGTTGTAACACGCTAATGAATACAGTTTGCTGACCCACACAAGTCACATGGCATTACCTGGTTATCACACAAAACTGAAATAAAAGTCTAAGAATAGAGATGAAGGCTCTTTAGATGCTGGCTCATCCTGGGATACTGAAAGAGGAATGCAAGGGAGAGATTTCCAAAACCAGGAGTTTCCTGTTCTATACTTCACATACCGACTTTGCTACCTTCTTTAGGTGTAGATAGTTCTCAAAGCAGATATCAGTGATGCACCATACAAGATCATTGGTGCATTACTGAAAGAATCCCACTTTTACCATTTTATGTTTTAACTATCAACCAGGCCTAAAGCAGCAACACTGGTACACTGTTCACCGAGTACCGATGGTTCCTCTTCCTTTTTTATTGCCCCAGCACACAGCATTTCAAACAGCAACTTAATCCACTAAATATTACTCAGAGACAATTTTTCAACAAAGCAGATGCTGTGGTTGCTGTAAATGGTGAATATCTAAATAAAAGTATGTTATTTTACAATCAGACCTCAGCAGCAAGACACGGGCACGTACACACGCTTACACTTACAGATCTGTGCATGTGCTGTGGCAGTTAGAGTTAAAAGACTGGTGGGTGCGAAACAAGCTACGAATGCAGTAAGAAATCATGATAATATTTACATATTAAGCATCCAGTGACCTTCAGAGTTTTCCAAAAAGTTAATAGGCAGATTCTTGCCATACTAATTCACCATTAGCCCAGTGACCCTGAAAACTGCTTTTGAACAAAGAGTTAAGTAATGCAATTTAATTCTACCTGCGTGTATATACTGAATATGTGGCTCTGCACTTCATCCATGGAGTCCAGGCCGTAAGCTACCGTTCCCAAGTGAAGTCGCTTGAAGACCATCTCGTTCTGCGTAAGAGTTCCTGTAACAGAAGCAGCACCAGACATGGAGCAGGCACTAAGACACCTATTCCCCAGCACGCGTTCTGGTCCCTGCTGTATCCCAAATCCAAGAGAAACTAGCCCAGAAGTTGGATCAGTCGCCATACCAGGCTCAGGCCAGCAAAAAAGACAATATTAACAAACCTGAGGGCCGATCCTCCCAGGAAGCAGTGATGCACATTACCATGCCAGTAAATAAGAATGAGATTATTCACCTCAAAGTCAATGACAGCAAGAGCTGCAGGCATAATGCTGGTTCTGTTGGAACTGTAGACAACTTTTGGAAACAACTTCAATGGGACCAGGATTTTGTGTCAGACCGAGCTTTTCATTACAGCTTAGGTGTTCTGAATTCAAGTTCAACTTTAAAAGTGTAAGAACAGCAGCAGACTGATGGTACATTTCTGCCTACATGTGTAAGCTATCTTCATCTGGCTTTGAAAACTAACTCTAAAAAGTTGCTTTTAGTTTTATTTTTACCCTCAGCTTTTGGTTTAAAAGCACAATTTAAGTGTTTCTTTGAAGTAGCATAATATTCCTGTCCTATCTTACTTATAATGCAGTCAGAACAAAAAAAAAACGTAATTTTTTTTTCAAATCGTATCAAAGTGACAGGAAATGCATATTTCTTCTAGTCCAAAGAAATCACACATTATACTCTTTGGCTGGCCGAAAATGTAACAAAATCCAAACAACAACATACCATGACTCCAAACTGTATTTTCTACATAGATACCTGTTTTGTCTGTAAGCAAATAGGATATTCTCCCCAGCTGCTCAGGAATAGTGCTGGACCGAACCACAGTCCCGGGGATTTTGGAATCTCTGCGGATCACCCAGCTGTAGACAATTTTCCCCATGTCCAGATTCACACGTAAACTGTGCAGGAGGAAGGGGAAAAAGAAAAAGAAAACGTATCTCCAGTTAAACTTTGGGAAAAAAAAATCATTGTGAACTGCCACAGTGCAATGAAATGACATGTCTCCCCCGCTGAACTTGAGCTGCCAGAGAGGATGTGTTGGGAGAAGCATATTCAAAGTCAGTGGTCAGGTGGCAAACGGGTAGGAGGACTGCACATTGCTGCAGTAGTACTGTAATTCAAAGATAGATGATAAAATTATGTTGAGAAGAACAGATATAATTTGAGGGGAAGATGGACACAGACAAGTAAGGACAGTGTGATTGATATGCGGACAGCAGGTTAAAAATGGAACTGAAATGAATCCCAGACCTACATCGAAAGTAACAATCTACTTATTAATATAGTGCAATTAAATATTAAAGTTTCAGTCCCCTCTAAAAGGCAATTGGGTCCTATTACACTACATGCTATATAAATACATCTCCTTTTCCATTTTTTGCTCTGCTTTTATCAAAGTAACCAGTCAGCCTGAACACTGAGACAAGGGGCCTTAAATGACTAATCCACAGTCACTAGAGTCAGTGAACGGGTGAATATGCTAAACAAATTCAGCAGAAACAACAAAGCAATTCCTATGTTTGAACAGTAATTTGATTTCTATTTCTAGATTTGCTTACTTGTCAAATGAGGAATAGATAAGTTTATGTGCTTGTTCATACTAGAAACAAGGAGGAGAATGCAAAGGAAACAGTATTTTGCTGGGAAGAATTAGCTATTGCCTTACCTAATGGGAATGATATTTGAGAACAGAAGGAGAAATCTTATGATCTGAAGATACCAGCGGCCAGCAAAGTGCTGAAGGGCTACCATGACAAGCGAGACCACCACAAGAGCCCCAAATAGGATCTTGGTAAGACAGTTCACTTCCAAATCAAAGAGACCAATCTAAAGAAATAAAGACATTTCAAACACACAAGAGAAGATGTTAGCTCAATGCAATACTCACAAAGGGAATCAACTGCCATTTCCAAAGAGCCATTCTCCACTAGTCAACAACTTCTCTTTTAAAACACTACAAACATATTTAAATTTATAAGCAATATTGTTGCCAGCTTATTTAATAAGACTTCCATCCTTTGGAAGCTAAGCAATGCATCAAGAGGTGTGAGAAGACTCACACTGTCAAAATCTGTGCACTATACAAACAACCCTGCATCTTTTCTTAGCTTTGCTGTAATAGAAGAATACAGCAAAATAAGCTTTCCTATTCTAACTGGGACTATCTCATTATAGCCATATAAAATAATGGTTTTACCAATCTTAAAAGAAGTGAAAAGATACGTGTACAACAGGACCAAAAAAATAAGGTGAAATAGGTTCTGCTATGGTAGCTATCTTAAATCATAGGCTGGAAGATATGACTATTTCTATGGGTTTGTCCCTATAGTGTGCATGCACAGCATTTGGAAGGATTTTCTTAAAAAAAAAAAAAAAAAAAACAAACACGACACATTAAATTTCTGCCCCTTTTTATTTACTATAAGACTGCTTCCTTACCATACCTTACTTCTTGGGTTTGAAGTATTCATCACACTGCGCAGTTCCCTTCCCGTGTAGAGGACAACTCCCACAACAGTACCTAAACAAAACAGAGCATGCATCAGCTGAAGAAAAACAACCTCCGTTTGTTTTCTCTATAAAAATACTTGTTGGATCCAAAGGCTTGACAGTCGTAGAGGATTTTTAGCAGGCTAATTTCAGAAGCGATAGCAACCAGAAATTAAAAAAGCCGGTTCCTGAAATATAAACTCTATGAAAACACAGACTTTGAACAGAAGACATCCCACAAAAAGTCAGTAAGTCTTCAACCACACTGCCCATATTCTTGGACTTCATGAAGCATCACAGACTGCATCAACTAATGCGCATGGGAAGTGGAGTCATCTGCTTTGCTCTCTCGACTTTCTCAGACCCCCTTTTGATGTCAGTTGTCTCTCCCCACTACAAATAAAAGTTGCTAAGGATGGAAGATTTCTTGGTTTTCCTCCCACCACTCTGAGTCCCACTTAGGTGTGGGTAAATTCATCTTACACTAGATAGTGGTTCTTCATTGTGTGTCAAAATCAAATCCATTCTCTGGGCTACAATTCTTTATTGGTGAAGGTTGCCACAATCAGAGTAAAACCAATGAATTCCAACAGCTTTCAAAGACAGAATTGCCTTTTTTTAAAACCTACAATTTACTGCAAGTATTTGCCTAATTGCTGTTCCCACCAAAATGCGAATCATACCAACTCCTACCTTACTGTAACAGATGGAGCTGCTGCGAGCCCATCAGTGTATTTTAATGCCCCACAGTTTCTAAAGAGCTGAGAGCAACAAAGTTCTCCCTTTTCTTCTCAGAGAAACAGAATAAAGTTTAGCACCATAAATTACTGGTTTTCTACAGATTTCTCTTAAAGACTTTGTAAAAAGCCATAAAGAAAAAGCTATCTACCACCAAGAGTTTGGAAGTTGCTATCATCAAAGTCTGATTTTTTTACTGTAAAAATGGAGAAAAACACTACCCAAAAAAAAAAAGCACCACTGCAAATACATTGCTATTTTATACTCTGCTATTCCCTGGCTCCTATTAATGATCAAAGTTTTAACATAATGCAAGTGAAATATTTTAAAATTAGACTGATTCAAAAGAGGTGGTTTCTAAAAATACGCTGGGAAACATTCCTTAAAAAAAAAAAAAAAAAAAAACCAAACCCAAAACAACAACAAATCACTGGAGCCAGATGGCAGGTGGTGGTAAGATCATCACAATTCAAATCAGCAGATGGCACAGCTACTCCAAATCAACTGCAAACAGTCAGAGTCAGACCCGTTCCTACTACAGCAGATGGAGAAAGCCACATAGCTCTACTTCATCTTACAAGCAAAGGCTGCCCCAGTGAGATGGCATCACCACAACTTGACAGCTTTCACTTACAGAAGAAGAAAAATAATATCCCCATTTTTTTGCATAACAGAAATAACCTACAACATGCTATTTGTTATTGCCATGGAGAAACAAAACTGAGTATTATATTGATCAAGTCAGTCAAAACGATGGGAAGAACCTGCCAGGACCAGAAAACAGCTTGAAGGCACACTGGTACGTATGAAAAGTGTTTCTGATTGTTTTATGGCCATTCAAAACAGACTCAACTGCACAAATCATTTGAAATTATGAAAATATTTGCAAATGTTATTCCTATTAACTGAACTCAAAAGATGTCTATCTACAGATAACTTTGTTCACATTCAGAAGGGAGGGCTGGATTCAGACACAGTTCATTTGGGCAGAGAGGTCACTGCGTGCCTTGATACAGGCACCGAGACCACCCGGGACTTCTAAACAGCACCGAAGTAGCGACCAGGCAGAGCAGAGGGTACGCTGTGTCCTCCTTTGGGTAAACTGTCTGTACCCACGCGTATACTGCGCACAGCAGAGGAAGAGCTTTTACCCTCAGCAGGCACTGGCTGTGAGCGTGCCGAGGGCATGACAGCGTTTCCTTCCGACTTCAGTAGGACTTTTCTCTGTAACACACCCCTGTGTTAGGCTCAGCCACAGCAGTGAGATGTGCAGTGGTTCAAGAGCTGGTACAAATTAAAGCTTTGATACAAGAGGCAAGAAAGCCCCTCCCCGGGAAAGCGTGCTGTGGGGAGAGGAGCCATATGGGACAGAATCATAAGGAAAATGGCTTTCCATTTCTCCATTTACTTTGTTCAAAAGCAGTATGAGCTGAGACTCCCGCATTAAGCAGCTGATGGGTATTTTAAGCTGCCAGACTTGACCACATGTGTCTACACTCAGAGGGAGGGAACACAGGTTACCTACTGCATGGCAATTACTAATCTATAAACATAATTTACTTGATTAAATTATATTTGGACAACGTTTTGTATGATCCCTTGGTCACAGCACTGTGACAGTCTAATACATCTCAAAGAAGAGTGAGAGCAGGATTAGAGAGGAACATACAGGAATAAAATTTATTTACTGTTTTCTGTTTTTAAGAGAGCAAATCAAAATCTTCTCAGTACTTCCGAAAAAAAAAACAACAAAAAAAACTTTTGAAGTTCATGTTCCTTCCCATTATTACTAATTTCATGTATGCCTAGGTATCACACTGTGAAGTCTCTCCATTCAACAACTTCAATCCCAGAACAGAATTTCACTCTCCTCCAGCTACCGCCTGCAAACCTTGCAAGCACACTGGACAGGAGAGGAACAAGGCTTTTACTCTGACAAGCCTCTACAATAGGGCATTGATTAATCTCAGGCCTTGGGAGTTTATCATATATATAAACCAAAATCTGTCAAAGAATTTATTTTTTTCCTCTTTGAAAGTATCTAAGATGAACCCAATGGAAGCACTTACCTGAAAATCTTTCATCTTAGCTACTGTTACCACAATCTATTTGACACCATTTCTGTTACAGATTAGGATGTCAATGCGGAGAGCAATTAAGTGCTATTCTGGTCCTAGATGCTAAAGAAGTGCCCAAAGGCCACTCCAATTCTTTCTCATCTAGGAATGTCCAAGAGGCAATTAGACGTCAGAGCTCAGCTCCCCAGAGGTGTCAGGACAAGCGGGAAACCTCATTCCAGCTGCTAATTTCTCCAACTGACAGAGATTATTATTCCATTACAAAAAGACCTTTAAAAATTGTTAACATATTCCCTTAAAAAAAAATTACACGTGTCTCCATCTTACCTGATGCAATCACCGTGCTGGCCCATAGGGTGTTTTCTATGCTTAAACTTTCATTCACTGGAGGGTCACTGTCCTCCTACAACAAAATAAAAAATAAACAAACAAACTTGTCAGTAGTGTAAAAGGCCAGTGGATGACAGTTACACAGAGGTGATTGGAGAGGGATGCTCGGAGTGTTGGTAGAGGGCTTCTTGATAAGATGGAGGATTTTCATAAACCCAAGTAAATCTCTGGTTGGATTCAGAACATGAGCACTTCATTTCAGTGGAGCAGAAGGGCTAGGAAAAAAAAAAATGTATTAAGATACCTCTGCCTGCTGAAGTCCCCCAGGAATCATAAATGAGAAAGGGATTTGTCTGCAGCTCTCCAGGGACTACAGGAAAATGTTCCCTTACTTGGCTCATACGGATTAATAGCATTTCTTCTACTGTAAGATCTCACTGAGAACCTGTTTGGACTGCTCAGCGATGACTGGAAAGTTGTCTTATACACACCAGAGAACAGTTACAAGAAAGCATGATTCCTCTTAGGCACCAAAATATTTTCTACACAATTGTACCTCTGCATGAGAAAGTAAATTAATGTCTGCGCAGATTTTACACAAGAACTGCCTCCCCAAGCTCCTCAAACTCCTCATCCATGCCAGTGCTATTAAACCAGATTAAACCACGCCACATAAAGATAAAAGGGGGAAATGTACAATTTTGAATTAAAATACCAGCAGACAACTTCTAAAAAGCTGTGTCTCCTATTTTTTACAAAACCGTTTGTCCTCTGAAAGCTCCCCAAGGGCATTAGATGAATCTCTCAAAATTTTCATAATCCCACTGAAAGAAAAAAAACAAAACAAAACAAAACACAACCTTTTGCCCCAAGTAGGCAATACATCTTCCCAACAAGTCAAAAGATATAGATATTTTGCATGGTGATATTTCACAGTGGCTCTGAGCTGCTGCCCTCTGAAACAGGGGGCCGATATAACAGTTCACACAGCTTGCATGCCATTGAAGGCAAAAACCCAAACGATTCAGAATTAAGACTGTTATTGCCTGATCTAGCTAAGATCCCCTGTCTTTTCACAATTAAAGGATTTTAATCCTACAGAGTACATGGTGGTCCAGATTTCCTTCTGAACAGGCACCAGGAATATGTAACTACCAATTCCTGCCTGAATGTTCTGGTCTAATACCTTCAGAGTAAGGTCCTTAATCCCAAACAGCCTATGACATTGTCTCCAAGTCAAAGCTACAATAACCATATTTTTGTTTCAGATTCGTTTCATAGATTTTTATGAAGGAAAAAAAAAAAAAGAAAGAAAGAAGAGACAAGGAATGGCAAGACAGACTTCACTATTTCTCCTGAAAGACTCTGGCATCCTGGTAGCATTCAGCAGGCTTGCATAGCAAACACTACATATATGATTTCAAGCATATGTCAGCAAGACTCACCCTTGTGAAGGTCCCCACGAAGTTATGTATATCAATATTGGGTTCTTCTGCATATACATAGGATCGGATTTGCAGGAGGTCCTATAAAACAGACATGTTTTGGCAGACTGTTAGACAACCTCATTTTAATAATGTACAAATGTTTCTACCAAAATACTTTGAGCAAGAGTTATTTATCAAGCTAATTACTAAATTGTGTTACTTACTGGAGCCCAACTGTCTACGAGAAAATTGGTGTACAGCTTCACTAAAGAGTACTTATTGAACCGATACCTGAGAGACTCCTGGGAGTTACTTAAATGTTGGTGCCCCATAAAAGAAATTTCAGCCTGAATAATCAACACAACCTAAGACACTTAACACTTTGTAGCAAAGAAGGTTTGGACTAGTCTTCCAAGGCAACCAAGGAACACCCTATCACTCAATATTTAGTTCAAGATGTCAGTGTCACAAGGAACAGTTCTGTGGTGACAAGAAGATACACCGATTCTGTGCAGTGTTTTCACTGCTGACTGCTACACATGCACAAATTATTCACTCCATGGAGAGAATGCCTTGCCTCAAAGCCTTTGTATAAAATAAACTTCTTGCACTTTTTACAGACAGAACATCAATAAAGCAGGTACTCTGATCCCCTCTTTGTTTTTGGGTTGTGTTTTAAAAAAAAAAAAAAAAAACAAAAAAAACAAAAAAACCCCAACCAACCAACCAACCAATCAAAACCACACTAAGTACTCTAGCCAGAGATTTTGGGAAACAGCATGTTTGATGGAGGTAACATGCCTATTTCAGATCATACAGTAGAGCTTCCATGGTGGCACTCCCTCTTTCATAAAGGCGAGCAATGAAAACTTAACAGCCCCTAACGCCATTTCATGAAAATGTGTGAATTGTGCCTCTGAACATAGTGCAGTGCAAGGAACGAAAGGCAGCATTTCAGCAGTACCACCACCAAGGCTGCCTACCCTGCAATGAGACCTATCCTGCCGTAAGTTACTGCAATGGGCTCTGGAGAGGAAAAAGAAAATAGGAGCATCCTACCATGAGCCACCTCCTGCTGCACGGTCATTCTCTAGCTGCCAAGCCCAGTGCCCATCTGCACAGCTTTGCAGTGACAGCCACGTGGTACAGAGACACCCAGCTTCACCTTACCTGAAATCCTGCCTGGAGCTCGGGAAGAACTTGTTTGGCCTTATACTCTTCGTTGCCAACACTAACCTGTAGCACGCACTGAGCCCTGGGCAGAGCAACGCTGCATTAACCCGTTTCTTAGAAGAGCCCATTAACAGAAGCACCTGAACATTTTTCGGGTGAGACAGGTACGCGTGTTTACCAAGTAGGGTATTTTGTAGGAAGGCAGCTTACAGAAGCAGTTGGCAGCCTCTGAGTACAGGTAACAGGCAGCCGCAATTTCCAGTCTGTCTCCCCATCCAGCTGGTCGGTGCGAAGGAAGCAAGACCCTGTGGATTTTCAACACCAGTCAGTGCTCTTTCCAGAGCTGTCTTAGATACATCTACGACTCATGAAATGGCTTCGTATCTAGGACACCCTTCTTTCTTTGAAAACAGTATTTAATTTCAAGTAATATTTGTTAATAACATAAGAATTGTATTCTTATTCTCCTCATTAGTCTTTATGTTTTCCAATCCTTCTGATCAAACGTTTCCTTATCCCACACTTCACAAAACAAACCTGAACGGCAAGTAAAATGATTTACATCTAAACCACAAACTGTTATGCAACCAGATTGATTTACCCTGGATTAAACCCCCTACGTTCTTTGATTAGCAAACAAAACCAGAGTATAACATCCCGAGAAGCAGTAGTCCATAAAAGCATTTGAATTCTCTGTCTCTCTAAAATTTTACTATTATCTATTTTTTCCACATTTCCAAAAGATAATTTTCTCTAAACAACCAGTGAAAGGTTAATGGCTATTTTGACAATTGGTTCCAGATGTTTACCATTCTTCTCCGACGTCCTCAGGAAGATCATGTCAGCAGGGACCCGCTGGTTCTGTTGGGAGAAGAAAGGCCATTATTGTGCGTACACCCCTGCACGCGTGTGCAGCCGCCCTCCACAGCCCCACCGTGACCAGCAAAGGGGGTATGGAGGAGAAAGAGGATTTCTTTGTCAAAGTGAAGCTTGATATTCAGTTTGCTTTGAATCCTAAACTCACTTCCCTGCAGAATTCCAAGCGCAGAATAATAACTGGTGCCAGCTCCCACTGATCAGACCCACCAGCTAGGTTTACAAAAGGGCTAGTGAGTAATTCTAGAAGTATGAAGAAATTTTAACCTAATGCTGGTTTCCTTTCAAGAAGTCCCATGCTAGAAGAAAGCATGTATCTGGAATCTACAGCTGCCACTTTTCCTCTTTGTTGTTCAGAGTTATTTTCATACTAATGGTTTTAGAGATTATAGCTGCTTGCACAGAGTGTATGGGGAAAAAAAAAAATAAATCGGTGGATAAAAAAAAAAAAAAAATCACACAAACTTGTAAAAAGGGGGAAATATACCTACACATACCAGTGCCTACAAATGGACCATTGCGTCTCCCAATACTTGTGTTGTTTACTCACAAAGCAGCATTTGGATGTTGCATTTGTATCAGGTATTTAACCTGTGTCCAACAGTCAGAGATAGGACCAGAGAGGCTTTTCATCTTGCTATAGTGTAAGTGGAAAAATTAGGTTATAGGTGCACATCTACAGATCTGCTCTCCATTGTAAAGATGATGATGTTATTTTGGTGGGGTGGGGGAACCCTGAAAAGCGATTAAATATTGTAATGAGGGTTCAACACTTGACATTCTAAACCTATTGTAAAACAAATATCACTTCAAAATCCCTCATTTTCTATGGTCTTGTGAAAAAAGTACTTTACACAGAGAAGATACACATAAAGGCTAACCTTTTCAACAATGATGAGGTCGCCTACTTGTATATTAGAGCTCTTCACCTTCACAGTCCCTGCAAAGGCAAGACAGCAGTGCATTAGAACAGCAGCAGGACGGGGTTTGTGGGTGCTGTGCGATGCTCCTTACCCCCCCTCCTTCCACTTCACTATTCAGGAAAAAAATGGGTAATGTTTCTATCATAAGAATTAGGCAACACTGCCCTGCAGAGACTTACTGAGCCCACTGGTCCCACTGGGTAAAGCAGCGGGTGTCAGGCTGTGAAAAGGGTTGGAAACCTCTCACTTAACAGCTCCAGACCTCAGCCCTGGACGCAGAAGCACCCTGGTCACTCTCTAGCGACAACTCTGAACAAGCCCTTAAACTTCTTTTTTGTACTGCTTAACCCAGGAATTTGAAAATACTTTCAGTGTCAGGCAGAGAACAGAGCAAGAACAGGAAAATTACAGTAGGGAACCATCAACTCCCGACTCCTTTCCCTTAGGTGGTTGAAAATTTAAAGCTCAACTCTCAAGCCAAGACCTGGAAGCCGTAAGTACAATGGGCCCATCTTAAAAACCAGGCTCCTTCCCTTCCGTGCCGCAGCTCTTGTATCTGGCTCAGCTCCACCACCTCTCCTTTGCCCCTCGACGGTCACAGCCTGAACGAGCCCTGCAGAGTAAGGGTCCTACAGAAAACGCGTAAATATTTATTTCTTTGCAGCTGTCAAACATTTCCCAGTTGCTTTAAAACACGGGATTAATTTAACAATTGGCTAGTAATTCCAAATCATTAGCCAGCTCTAGATTTGGCTTCTCAGACTAACCAGTGATTTATAATCAGTTAATTTGAACCCTGCCTCTATGTGTCTGTCTGTTATATTTCAACAAAAGCCTCTTTAATCTGCTGTGATTTGAGTGGAAGTGGGGGAGGCACGTGGAGCTCACCCCGGCACGGACAACACTCCTACTGTACCTCGAAATTCATGGGCTAACTGGCCAGATAGCAGCGCAGGGGGGAAGGAGAAGGGGGAAGGGAGGGGGAATAGAAATTAGCACAAAGCACAAAGGTCACTAGGATTTTACTACTGGCAGTCCCTTCATTAGCATCCTTCTCAGGATATGCTTCAGTGTTTCTGCTCCAAATTAACAATGAAAGCCATTCTGGGCTCCCGGCAGCCTGCTGCTTTGGTGACACACTGTGTGCTTAACAACATGCTTCATCACTGCTGCTAATAAATGCAGACTTCCTTACATGCTGTAATTATTCCTACAAATTATAAGCAGTCCTGGCCCATTTCACAAATATCTCAGGTCTTTCATGGATTCTGGGTTTTGCCTTGCGAGTTTTTTAGGGTTTTTTTTTTTTTTTTTTTTTTTTTTTTTTTTAAAAAAAAAAAAGGGGGGGGGTAAACAAAATGAATGCTGGGCTAAAGACATCTCTGCCGGGGCAGGAAGCATACCGGGGATTAAGAGTCCATTACGCAGAGGCTTGAAAAGAAAAGCCACAATCCAAGAGGATCCAAAAAGCATCCCTGGCAGTCTTCTGTATGGGCTATACAAAGTTAGGTACTATGACACTAAAAGGGTCTGACAGATAACATCTCTTCCTCCCCTTTTAATACGGTTATTCACAAAACAACAAAAAGTGCTTTTGAATATTCTCCTGTGCAAAGGAGGAAAAAAAGCCCTGTGTGCTCTCCCCACACAGGCATAGCAATTCCTAAAACACTCTGCAAAAAAGCTCTTGGAAGGAGAGGGGGATTTCTTTAACCATATTTTATGTACTTCTCAAAGATCGCAAGGACTTATTTGGTGACTGTCAGTATAGGAAACACTACCTGCAGGGTTCACGAATGAACAGCAGTTTTGTAGTGCTTTCCTTAATGATGTAAATTCACACTGGAAAAAAAAAATGAACACCTGGACAAAGCTACAATGTGATTATTTCCTACCATTATGCACATAAAAGGCTTTTTGGATCATTATTCTGAAAACAATATCATCTGCTTTAAAATTTTTCCCATGCAAGAAAAATCAAAGCAGCTGGAGCAGATTTGTCTTGTTCAATACCCCCCCCCCAACCTCAGCTGTTTTAAGGCAAAAGAAAGAGAGGACCTTTCTACCCAATACACATTTTTATAACTCCTGTATAAATGAGATGCCCTTTTTAGGTAGCAAAGCTAATTCTGCTTTTCCAGCCATACTCCTGGCCTCTCACGGATGACATCTCTGCAGTATGTACCATATGTCCTGCTAAGAAGGCGCGGGACCAGATGTTTCCTTTGACTCAGGACTCCCATAAAGCAACTTACTTGAATTAGTTTTATTTTGATCTTGGGAATTCTGTAATTCCTATTTCTTTCTGAAAAAGTTTAGGGGAAACTACCTCCTAAACATTAGATGTTTTCTCACGCATGTTTAAGAAACTAGCTAGTAACAAAACTGCTTCATTTCCCAATATTGCTCTGCTGTTAAAGCAGTTTTGTAATAATAAATGACTGTTTTTATAAATGCACCTAGAAGTGCTTCCTCTAAATACCCATAGCTTTATTTAGCATTTACAATACTTCCAGTTTATATTTTCAGAAGTTAATCAGAATACAAATCCGTGACCGACAATTTAAAAAAGCAACTAGCCCTGATCTTTTATTTTTTTAAAAAAAGAATCAATTCTTAATATTTGATTTATATTTGTTTCATTCCTTGCTGTATCCTGATTTATATATTTTTTAAAGACAAAAAAGTGAACAAAATAAAATGCAAACAGTTTGTTCCAACTTCAGCTATGATCTTTGGAATTACCACCAAATCTGCAGCATAAAGCAGATTATTTAAAGTATTAAATGTATTAGCCAGAAGACATGCTTTTTTCTAGCATGTGAGCACTTAAGTCAAGATTTCACAACAGATCTGCAGAGCTTCACTAACATACAGATCAAAACACTTAATTTGGCATTAAAGATGAAGCCAGAGGTTTATTAAAACAAGCCAAATGCATCCGAAAAAAAAAAGAAAAAAACAACAGAGGTTGTTTGGATGTGCTGCACCAAACTTTTGGCTTTTGCAGCCTTATGCTGTATAAACTGTGGAGCAGGACTCAGAGGGTTTGAGAAAATATTGTTTTTATATGGCTGGTAAACGCCAATGATCTGTATCTTAAGTAGCACCCCGCAGTAGGAGGTCTCTTCCCATTTCTTGCTGTGGAGTTTCTCTCCATTATGCAGCGTTACCCTGGGAGGGGGGCTGCAAGAGAAGAAAAACAAACCAAGAATTTGCAAGCACAGTTCTAGCTTTCTATCAAGCAGAAAGTCAGCACACGGCCTTCTGAACACAAGGCAGCTTGTAGGTTTATGAATAGGGGATGGAAATTTGATTATTTTTTATTACAATCCAAACAGCCGTCCTTTAAATGGAGAACTTTCTATTTAAAAAAAAAAAAAAAAAAAAAAAGCTTTCCAGAAGTCTGCTGGTTTCATCATTTTGGAACATAAATGGATCATATCTGTAGAAAGAGAAAAGAGGTTTAGGGTGGAGGTTTTTTGATGTTGTGTAACATTAAGGAAGACAGAAAATACACTACTGTCTGCTCACGCTGCCCTCCAAAAAGGTTAGTCCCTGGAATTCAGCAACCACATTCAAAATAAAATGTGATCCAAAGAGGATTCTCCCTTTATCTCTACAACGCAAACAGCTTAGTGAATCTTAAAAAGCTTAACCAGAAGAGCACATGAAAAAAGTTTCACGTACAGGAGCAAAGCTGCAAGTCCAAAATTTCCTCCCCCCGGGGTGGGGGACCAGGCTGGCGAGTATCCTGGAGCAGGAGAGCTCCGGCCGGCAGCAGGAGGGTGCGAGGAACGGCACACAAAGAGGACATAAGGATCCCAATCCCAGAAAGCACCAAAATCTGTGCTTACTTCTGTCCCTATTCAGAACTGCATGTAAGCATGTGCTTCAGTCTCCCTGACTTCATTCAGGCCTGAGAATATATTTACGTCCCTGGGGTTGTGCTGGGGAGGCCAAGGTTGGAGAGAGGAAAAACTATTCTCCGGCCACCTTAACCACAGCTTAGGGCATATACCCAGGGGAAATAAAAATGGCTCGGAGAAATCTACAGTGCTCCATTTGACCCATTATAGCCAATGTTCAAGAACAGCAGTGCTCAGTGTCGAGCTTTGCCTAATCTCCTCCCCCAAAAATACTGGCTCTAGAGGTGAAACTATTGTGACGTTTAAAAAAAAAAAAAAAAAATTGTAGAGCAAGACTTCAGGCAGCTTTTGTGCATCAGTACCCTTCTGCACTGCCCCTTTCCAGTACAGGGCTGTGCCAATATCCTGAAACACGAACCATGCTACTGAACACACGCCAAAAAAAAAAAAAGCGAAACAGGACTGTTTGTCCAAGGCAAGTTCTACCTGGAGTTTTGTCAGCTACACTGAAAATTAATAGTTAAGATTGGCTGTTCTCAGCTTATTTTGATATTTGCTGCTCTACTTCTAACCTGACGAAGAGCTTCCTTGAAAGCTTGCCTACTTTTTCTAACTGTACTAATAGATACAATAAAACAAACCCAACAGTTTTCCATCCCACAGTCATGGTGGCCTCACAAGGGACTCCTCTGCTCCTAGGTGATTCTCAAGGGTGCTAAGGTTTTAATCAGTGAAAAAGTGGATGTTCTGGTGTCCTGGAAAGCTCAACTACAGAGAGACACTGGATTCAGGGAGAGACTGGAAATTACTTTTCTCCCCAAACCAGAAGTCAAATCATAAGTAATTTTCCTGTGTTTTTCCTACTCTAAACAATACTGTTAGAGAGTCTCACTCCTGTTTCTGCATCAAATTCAGGTTAAATAAAGTGGCTCAAGATTTTCGGCTAGTGCCCAGCTGCCAATCCTCCTTGGTTTCTTTCACAAAATTAGAAAAGTTAAAGGACCTGGGGGGAGGGAAATCATTCATGGGAAACGTAATAGCAATATGAAAAGAACTAAAGGAGAGGTCAGGCCCCTTATAGATCATTGAATAGAATCCAGAAGGCAACTCTTTTATATCTTTAAATAGATGTAGTACACCCCTCTTGGATGAGGCTTTTGTTGGTTGCCAAGCATTTTAAGTGTTGTAGTAAGAACACGTTATTAAAAGGGGATTTAATATTCAGAAACTCAAACTCCCTAGTTCAGAGTTGCCTCATAATTCCCGCCATGTGAAATATATACAGCCTTAAGCAATTACATTTAAAAAGCAGCCTTATTCTTAAAAGTGCAAGTGTTGAAAGCAACATATTTTTACTACACCTAGTTCACTGCATCTTAATTCAGGGGTATAACCCTTTATAACAAAGAAACTAGAAATGTAAAAAAGAAGTTGCTTAAATTCAGTTCATTCCCTTTTTAAAAACAAAACCCTGGCCTCACCATCATTGTCATGGTATTAGGAGTAACTCCATAGTGAGGCAGCGTTCTATTTTTCAAATGAGAATTTAAATGTCTTTGTTAGGTATGGCACAGCTGTAAACAATGGCCAGAGCCAGGGACGAGACACAGCTGAGCTGCAGCCCGGGCTCGCTTACAAACGAGGTCTCCAAACTCCTCACAGTTGGAGAAAAGGGCTAAAGATGATGTATACAAAAATACAAGAGACGATATTGAAAAACTACATCAGTCACTGCTAACAGAAAAACACAAAAGATGTGGTAACGTATCACACGTTATCAGCCTCTTTTCGCAAAGGATGTGCACGATATAATTCTGTCTCGTAGAACACAGAAAAAACTATGAAACTCTAATGGTGTGGCATGTTCAGTGATGGAACACATCGGTATGTCAAGCAAGTCATCTTAATTTTAACACATGCATTCACAAGCTCCTTCGATACACAGAGTACTTGTACTTAACTACAATTTGCGGTACCTGTGTGGAAATGGTCCCCAGTCCTAGACACCAGAACACGGCGTACTTTCACCCTCACTATTTGAATGTACCTCTGCAAAACCATCCTCTGACATTTTCACAGACCCAGGTTTAATTCTTCTACTAAAGTCCTTTTGCAAATTATCTATGTGGATCCTCCTCCCTTTTTTAAGCACACGTTTGTGGTTTCCATTAAAGAATATGAATTGGTAACTTAGAGGAATCCTTCTTACATCTCTCTCTCTTACTGACGGTGAACAAGCACAAAACACATGCAGGGGGAAGACAGATGCACCATTACCCAAACTGGAAGAAAACCAAAGAGAATCCCAAACAACATATCACATCTACTATAGCTCTATTCTTGTTTTCTTCCTATTGTGCTGTTTGCTGAATTTGCCTCTCTCTCCCTCCCTCCATGCAACATTACGCAGTGCTTGTCTCGCATCACAGCTTTGCAGGGAGGAAAACACATTTCCCTTCTGGAAACATCCACAACACAGAGCAATTCAGATCCAGTTTCATTTTCTTTAGTGACTCCAATTCACCAAGAAGAGACAATAACTGGGGAAGAAGTTTTGGCCTACACTGGAATTAGGAGCCAGCAGGGACTAAAAATATCCCATCAGCTACCTGGAAGTCGACCACTGCAGCCAGCACCAGGCAGGGAACTCCCAGCCCACCGCGCAGGCTCCCGCGCCCGAAAACGCACTGACTGCCCACTCCCCACGCCTCAGGTCACCGAGACGATGCTCTGAAGTTATCCGAGGCAATTAACCTCCCCTGAACCCCCACGTTAGCTGTGCGTCTCCCTGGGAAACCCTCAGCACAGCCCAGCATCCACCACAGCCTGGCGAGGAGCCATGCGTAAGAAGCCACCCGGACCCCCGAGGCCTCCGCGGAGGCAGGAGCGGTGGCGTGGCCGCGAAGCCACGTGCCTGCGAGCCCATAACCCCCCTCCCCATTCCTTGAACTCTGCTTCTCTGACTGTCAGCAGCGTTTGATTGAGTTGCAACCCCTGGCGCTGCGGCAGGCGTGCCAGGACGCATGTAACATCTGATCTCCTCCGCGGCCTCTCGGATGACGGTAACAGCAAGAACAAATCCCTAAAAAGGGAGCAAGGGGGGCGGGGGGGAACAGAATGGATGAAAAGGTCAGGAAAAATCACATCTGCCTCTAATAAGAGCAATATTTATCAGTACCAATGCCAACAATCTGCATTTCCTTATTTCCTTATTCTATCTTCTCTCACTAAATCATCATAGTGATATTATGCGCTGCTGCGCAGAACTCCCAATAGCAGACTGACAACAGACTTGTTGCTTAAAAAAACATGGTTGTTTCTCATCTTTACCATGATGCTCCACCAAGTACCTCCCTGAGCAAATCTCTGTAAAGTTTATCTGCAGAGTGTAAACACCACATTTCATCTCACTTCACAGGTAAGTAACCAAGACCAAGAGGGGTTACACAAAACTCCAGGGTAAAACAGGATTCCTCAAATCTCAGTATTCCCTCCACCACAGAGCCAAAGTTAGCTCACCTAATCTGGGAGATTTCTTTATATAGAAATCTATACAGAAATTTATATAACCCCTTTTTAATAGATACAGATATATAATGTATGTGTGTTCATGCGTACGTACATACACACTCAACCTACACAAATAAGCACTCTAAATATATCAGTGTGAACTACTTGCAGCACAATTACACATTTGTCTGATTAGGGTTTCAGTCCTACTTTTCTATGGATGTGAGCAGTCATTTCATTTCCTCTTATCATGAGGAAAATGCCCACATTGCATACTTCACTATATAAAAAAATAAATAAATAATGAAAAATAATGCTTTATGGGGCTTTTAGGCATTTAGGACCACAACCATGGATGATCCCTTCCCCATAACCAACAAATCAAGAAAACAATGACCATTTCTCTTCTAGTTACAAGTGGCATTTGTGTATTTAGCTAGAAATCCCTATGTGCTTTTACAAAATAAAACAAAAAAGCATCAGTTATTTTCACCGTACTTTTCAGCTGTTTGAAGAGTCTTCAGATAATCACCCCAAAATATTCCCACATGTGCCAACTCACTGTGTCATCTCGTATGTCATTCCATCCCCAACACTCTCATTAGCAGCCAGTAATGAACAAAGACCTTCCTTTTCCTGCTTTCTGGCAGCATATAGGCCAAATTCTAATTGCTTACCTGGCACAGGGAAGTCACAACTGCCTATACAAAACCCAGAAAGAGAGATCTGGGTGCATGTATACTTTATTTATAGGACAGGATCTTCTGAAACTAGCATTAGATTCATACAGCAAATGCAATACAGCACACACTCGAGAGAGAATTCAGTGAGATCCAAGCTTTAATACAAACAGAATTTTAGCAGCAATGTCCCAAATTCACTTCTTTCTGGCCTTTACCAGGGATTTTACTGTACTGAAAGTATAAAAGGCAAGAAAAATTTCATTTGCCCCTCCTCAGCTCCCTCAGTAGAGCCATGAATTTTTTACCACCACCATTTCTCAAATGAGTGCACAAGCAGTATCTCAGAAAATCCCTGTGCTTTTTTTTAATCAATTCTCAGTTGGTTTTGTGTCATTTCTTTAGTCAAAAGAATTTATATCCTTGGAGACTTTCAAAACTCAGGTAGAAAAGTTAAACTAGTGTAAGTTTAAAGCAGTTGGACCAGATGTCCCTCTGAACCAAAATTATTCTACAGTACTCTGGGCTGAAGTGCAGCAAAGAAGTTGTTCACAAAGAAAGAGGAGTTTTACTGGGATAAAAGAAAAAAAATATATAGGTACCTATATTTAAGCATTTAAGCACTTGTAACTGGCTCATGCAGTGCATTTAGAGATTTAAGAAGCCCATTCCATGCAACTATTCCTCTTTCTATCCTTTGACAGCACTGGAGTTTCTACTTCAAAACTGATTATTATCGATTTCCTTTGATTGCAGGTGAAACACATGGCTATCAAAAGAAGAGGGCAAATAATTTACAGGAAGGAAAGACTATCCGCACCTTGAGCGAGTGTGAATGAGTGTGTGTGAACATGCCTCAATATATTGATTTTTATAGGCGGGAGGTTTGTGGAGGGGTGTTTCTCAGTTTTTTCATTTGTTTTTTACAATGTGGTTAGACTATGAAGCAGCCTGTTGACCTATCCCAAGGCCACAGGTCAAACTGTTTGGCAGGGGAGCATAATTTGCCGTCATTGCACATATGGCCAGTCATTAAGGTCACTTTTGAAAGGTGCCCTTCGGTCCTTCACTGCAGTTGCCAGGCTGGTCTGGGCTCCCGCAAGCACTGGCCTTTGCGTGATCACCCCCGGAGGCCACAACACCCCCCAACAGCCTCTATGAGCACAGCCTGTGATAAGACACAGCCATGAACAACACACACATCACTTCAGTCCCCATTCATTCTCCCATGTTATTCATGAAGTCCTGCTGCCCTTGCAGTCACCAAAACCCGTGGCAAGAGCTCTGTGCCTGTTACTACCCCACAAATGAACAAGTTGGGGGCACAGTCCTCTCCCATCCTTGCCAAACCTCTACAAAATAAAGCTTAAGGCCAGAAGCATCATCGACACTATGACATGTATGAAGAAGTAAACTAATCAAATGATTTAAGGTGCAAACTTACGCCCTAGAGGAAAGGCAGCAAAAGAAATTTCATCAAAATGAAACTTTCTTGAATAAAAAAAACCTTAAGTTACCTACCAGAGGAACCCAGTATGTGTAAAGTGCACCAAGCCTCATTTCAACGACAAATTGAGAGCAGGCCAAAAGCAAGAAATAAAGGTTGAAGAAATATTTGAACTGGTTAAACAACACCTAAAAAAAAAAAAAAAAGGGGGGGGGGGGAGAGAAAGAAGAGGAGATTAATGGAGTTCGGAAGTTATGCATATTGAACTAACCACCAGAAACATATTTGCATGCTCCTCTAGTGTCTAAATGCTAACTTAGGGCACTCTTAAACTAGTCCTGAACATTCAGGACAGACCCATGTCTGGTTTGCTGCTGCCCTAAGGCATCTGTTGCAAGAGGCTCACCAAGACACAATTCAAACATTAATTATTTCCTCCAGTTCCAGGTTTTGCACCCATCTACTGTAAAACCATTGAAATTGGGGAAAGCATTGGGGTGGGATGATGAAAAGCAACTTTCTTCATCCTTACCCCAGGGAGAAATGTAAAAAAGTTGTATTTCTGATTGTTGATCACATTGCGAGGGTATCTCTGGTCTCTCTTCTCTGGATGGCCAAGCCAAACAGTACGAGGCCTTGGGTCTCTCCTCCCACAGCATCTTAAGCACTCACAACACCTATAGAAAGAAGATTAATTAACAAATGAGTTAGTTTTTAACATATATCTATGACTCACACACACCCCAGACCCTCTCCGCCAGCCAGGCAGAACAGCTGAGCATCACTTCATCTGTCACTCACCACCTCTCATCTCTCAATTATCCACTGTACTACGAGCATCTTAAAACCCAGAGCTTGACTTTCTACCAAATACAGACACTCCACCTGCTACAGCCACTGCAGACCTGCCTTGCAGTCTACCCAGCTGCGGGGAAACATCTCATACGGTGTTAGAGCTGTAACTATATCACACAACCATGTGCTCAAAGCTGGGCAGGCCAGCAGCAGTGCTAGAAACGTGCCTGCAGCAACGAGGGCTGGGGAGGCTTCTCCCTTTGCTGTAAAGAAAACAACACATGGAGAAGCGTGGACCAAGCTCATCGCTACACTGAGTCAGTGTTGGCTGCTGGGAGAGCTTCAGGGAGCAGTGAGGTGTGGGGTACAGGAAGAAAGGTGCCCCCGCACTGATCTGGGACTGCAGGTTTTATGCCAGAAAGCTCCCACAAAAAATAAAAAAAAAAAAACAACAAACAACACACACCAAAAACCAGTTACAAGTGCTTTCTATTACTTCTTCTGTTTCCTTGTTGGTGTATGGGAACTCCCGCAAAAGGGGGCTTTCTTTAGGACCAACTGTCCTAAAGAAAAGAGATGGAGATGGACAGAGGTTCTGCTCCTTCCCTGCAACCCCAATGTCATAGAAATTTATACCTTTTTTAACTGATGGATTTAATATTTGCATATTTAAATTTTTGCACTTCAAAAGAGTCTTGCCAAGGAATAATAATGTATAATCCTCTAAAAATGAAACCTTAAGAGGAATCTGAAAATAGATACTAAATGATTAGTGATTTTATTTTTACACAGTATTACAGTCATTAGCTCTGTTTATGCTAACAGCAAATTGTATGTTAACTACTAATGAGTAATACACATTCTCACTAAGAACATGTGCTGTATATCCAGCCACCCAGTCTCAGCTGGTTCCTTTAGCTGTAGTAATCCGTGTTTTCAGCTCTTCAGCACCACCGCAGAGGCTGCGAGTTTGGGCAGCCCAGACCAACGCCTGGACCCAGCACCACAAACCTGAGCTGCCAGAGAAACGGCTGCAGGGATTTAAGCTCATCCTATTTTCAGTCAGGTTAGTCCAATATAACCTTTGATGTAATTTCTTTTTCTCCTGTATTTTTGTCTACTTTGTCAGCAGTATCAGTTCTGGTGCCATTAAACATTGCCATGTTTCAGTTATCCAGCACCACAATTACTTTTTATACCTTGCAATGCCAGTTTTCCAAAAACTGTCCAAGATAAATAAAATATGAACACATCACCATGATGATTTTTTAACTTTTCCAACTCAGGCTTACATTAAAGCCATTTATTTAACATCACTTCTGGCCTTTGCTAGAAGTGACATGGGAATTCAGGAAAGCCACACCAACTTCACTAAAACAGACAGGGTCCCTAAAGGGTTCTCTCCTCTCTGTGGGGGGGACATCTGAAGGGCAGAGCAGGAGACGTGAGCTCAGGGAGGGCTCCGAGCGCGTGGTGGGACCACTGACGCATCCCACCGATGCATCCCACCTCCCTCCCCTCGGCAGCCCTGGCTCGGCCGGTGCCCCCACCTCTCCCCACTGCTGTCGGGGAGCGCTGGACTCACCAGAGCCAATAAAGAAACCCCAGTGATAGTACATCGTGCCTATATTTGATATTATCCAGGCTAAAAATCTCCTCCCGCCCACAATGGGTGCCATACACAACAAAACCGTGTTCCCTCTTTTGGAAACCATTGCCCTGCCTACAAACCTCAGGCTAGAAGCTGCTTGTCTCAATTAAAAGACCCCAGGATGAGGTGAGAGGAAACACTTACTCTCTAGAAAAACATGGAGGATTAACATGTAATTCATGAAGCAACAGTAACGGCAGAGAACCGCCATTTTCCCTCCACAGGCTGGGGGCCGCCCACTGCGGCCTGCAGGCCGGCCGCCATCAACACCAGGCGCCTGACAGGACCTTCGCCACTGCAGCCAGCCGAAACGGGCTGGAGGGAATAAAACCTTCCGCTGCTGGATGTCACCCATCCTTAACCGAAGCAATGAATTGCACAGAGCGTCGGTTACTTTGTGGGAGATGCAAGGACTTATCAGCGATCCCTCTTGTACCTTGAAAAAGCCTCTCTGTTCAGAACTGCAGCAGTGTACCCTCCGCAAACCCCCAAAGGGTCATTTTTCTGTTGTCACTGCTTCTTACTGAAAGCCAATCTCTTGTCAATCCCCCTTGTTCCTTTAAAAACAGCCCTATTGAATTTCATTGACATTTGGGAAAGCCAGTATCAGCCAGATTGATAACCAAAGGCTTCAGAGCTCTTACAAACATCTTTCCTGAAACCACCGCTAAGATCTACTCCTGAATCATGGCATTCTGCTGCAAAAGTTCAGTTAAATACACACCTAACCGAAATAAGTAACTATTTAAGGAAGTACACAAAGCACTGGGCCCTTGAAGGCACTGCCTCACCAGAAGACACGTGCAGCACGATGAACAGAGTTTACCACTCACCACGCAGAGGGTGGTTTTCCCCAAAGATACCATGTTTTATGCCCTGCTGGATGCAAACAAACAGAAAGACATGTTACCAGTTAAGTCAGTTCCTTCAGTATATAAGAGGAATAAAAATCAACTTTGCTTCCAGGAGTAAAGAAAAGGCGTCGCTGTGGGATTCAGTGCTACGTGCCCAGGCATAAACTTCACAAGGCTGACTTGCAAGATAATTTCTCACAAGCTTTTAAAACTGGACAGAAGGATTTTTGCATAATCAAATTACTTTCACGCTATTCTATTTGATGAAGAGTGGCAGGTGAGCCCTGAAAAGGTGGGTTTTCCCTAGTCTGTACTCAAGAACAATCAAAGCTGTAAGCGTGCAGGTGCCAACCAAACACAGGAGAGAAAGCTTTCTCGCTCAAAGCCACTTTCAGACCGAAATGCTGACAAGATAGCATGGGTAGTGAAGGAACATGAAATCACAAATTTTGGATGGTGCCAAATAGTCTCTTACCAGCTTCATGCAAGTCAAGCTCTCCGTTTCAAAACCAGAGTACGTGTAAGGTCCCCCAATTTCCATAATAATTCCACTGCTTCCACCAATACATATTTATCACTGACCACGTAGATGTTAGCTTTATCAAAGCCTCGGTAGTTGTCAACTCTGACTTGCAAACAGTTCAGTTGCTGAAGAGGAAATTAGGAGAATGCAGGAAGATCTGACAGGAAAACACAGTGGGTAATGCAAACTGCTCAAAACTCTGATAGCAACGCACACCTAGATCAAATGACTGGAATAAAATAACTGGAGATGCTGCCCTGTTCAAGCATTTACAAGAGGCACCTGACTTCCTACAGCCTTGCAGCCCCACTACTGCCATCTCTGCTTGCCTTTAGACAGGGACCTTGCCCGTTATGCTACATTGGTAATATTTCTAAGACAAAGGACTTCCATCTTTGACTATTCCCTACGTAGTACTATAAAACCACAATTAAGTACTCTAAAAGTAACCCACTTCAAAAAGTTACCCTTGCCCCTGAAACTATCAATTTTTGTCAAATCTACAAACTTCTTTTTTTTCTTGTTAAGAAAAACTAACTAGTAGATCTTTCTTCCCCACACAGCTGTGTATAATACCCGCATCTGAAAGGCAGTTACCAATGTGAGACAAACAGTAAAGCTGGTGTTAAACACTCAAATTCATAAACTCTACTTCAGAAGTATATTAGCTTGATATCTTTCAATTGCAGTTTTCTTTTGTGTTTGCAGATGAAGATCTCAGACAAATAGTCACTTGTATCCCAAATATATTTTAATGGAAAACAGTGCAAATGGTGGTTTAGATATGTTTGGGGTTGGGGGGGGAGAGTGTTTTTCCTTCTTTCACAAAGAAAAAAAAAAATAATAATCACACATGAGTAGCCTTGATTCTGTGTTTTAATGACTGTGAATCCAGAATGATCTCTATGATAAAGCTCCAAATAAGAGGCTTCGTCCAAGGGAGCAAACCTGGTGTCCATACACCCCATATCATCACAATGTGCTCCCCGGTTAGAGAGTGTCAGTCAGTCCCTGTAATCAGACATCTGAAACCAGTTACCTTTGTTTATTTTTTAGGCTGGGCCTCTTCCAGGGATTGTACTCAACAGCAAAAATACCTACACACCTATATCATAATATTTACAATAGGATAAGACTCAAAGAGGGTACTACTTGGTACTCTCTATTAGTTTAATAGAGGGTACGTAGTACCCTTATTAGTTTAATAAATATTTTAATTTAACTTTTTTTTGGTACAAAGTAACATTCACTGATATGGTCCAAAGAACTTTCCAAATATCTGGGCAGATCTTCAAATCAATACCTAAATCTCCAAAGCAGACTTCCAGACATTTTAATAAGTTCAATGACTTATCAGCATTTTTTCACAAGTGTACAAGAAAATGGCAAATGAACCCCACAAAGCAAGCAGAATGTTTTACCTTAAGAAGAGTGTGCTCTGCCCAACTGTTTACGTATAATTATATTGGTTTTAGTCTTTTCCAAATTACTATGAATTCACTACTCTGAACACTTAACTCCTAGCACTGCTAAACTGCTTACACTTGTGCTTTTCTAAAGGAGATGGCAGCCCCCAATACTGACAGCACCTACAAAGGCAGGGAAGTGGAAGGCAATTGCATAGACGTGAAATTACCCAAAATTTAGCTTACGTTCTGTAATTAAAGCCATGACCTCTTGTAGCCTTCCCACCACAAAGGCACTTGCTGCTGTAAGAATCTGAATTTACAAATGCTGTGTTACTATCAGGTTTGTGAATCAATCTAAAAATAACGCAGTTCCAAGTATAAGCAAGAAAGGGGATGGGAGAATCTGCTGTATAAAAATAACAGTTTTGTGAAATTCCTGCCTGGCTGGAGTCACAGTTTTCACAACCTCCGGAATTACAGGGAAAGCAAACTGAAAACCTAATTAGACAAACAAAAGAAAAACTTCCTGCCTAGCAAGTTTTTGAAAGCGATTATCAGTAGTATCAATGCTCTAGTAACGAACATGCAGCATTTCTACTAAGAAGTCTCCTACACAGATAACCTTTTAGCACGAGGTTTCCATGCTACATAGAGGAATTCACAAAAAAAAAAAAAAAAGTCCAACCATGAACGCAATACTACAACCAGCAAACCAGCAATAACACAGTCTCACGTTGCGACACTTTAACTGGGGAGGTTTATCAGCGCTCAGGAATCCCATGATGTCATTGCCTGGAAGCCTCCTCCAGAGCCTGGAGTGCTCAGCAAGGAACCCAGGCACCAGCAGCTGAAAATCCTGAAAAATCAGTAAATGCTGATTTTTATCCCATATACATTCAAAGATTCCCGAAGAGTTTTTGTTCTGAGGACACCTAGTCAAGCCCAGTGCTGGCATTTCACGCTCACCTACCCTGTGACCTTGTTTTTCCCTCTTGTCCCACGAACCACCAAGCACGCTGCCTGTGCTTTGCCAGGTGGGCACAGAGCACAAGCCCCCAGTCCCAACCCCAGGCTAGCGGGAATGTTAAGCTGCAACGGTTATCTCTGCACACTAATTGCGCAAGTGCCAGCCCATGGCTTGTTGAAATAAGTTAGAAAATGAGCTTTTGGTAAGAACACAGACATTTCTCAAGCACAGAACCACATGCTCATTCTTGGCATTGCACATTGCTCATCTAGGCAGATGTTTATCACTCCCCTCCCCAAAGATATGCAATTGTCATTTTTAATTTTTTTAAAACTTTTCAATGATGTCTTAAACTTCATTAAGGAAGAATACATTACTAAGCTCATTAGTTCTGCTTTAAAATCCTCTACATGACATCTGTGATCCTTACAAAGTGCTTTACACAACCAGGTGCGGCTGCAATGGCAGACTGTGTTTTAACAGACCACTGTCAGGTTTCATTAACCTACCCGGGCCACGTGCAGATGGGACAGTTTCCCTACCTCAACCCTTTCTGTCTTACATGTGCCGATGTTGCAATGTGAGTAAACACGGGTCCCCACAGGCACTTTCATTACTGCACCAGGCTGTGTTGGCACAACACATGGTGCGACACCGGTGAAAGCCCAGCACTCGCCGGCACTGCACGGCTGCTGCGCAATCACAGGAGCCAAAGCAAAAGGCCCCAAAGCTGCCAAGGACTTGTACCACGGGGAGAGACAGCCACCCTTAAGGTGCAAAGTCCCGGGCTGTGCTGCTAAATATCCAATTTGGGATGCCCACATGCTGGTATGACAAAACACAACTCATACCACGGTAAAAGGGAAAGAAGACACAGAAAGATGGGTGGTGAACCTAGCAAGGAACGTTTCGGACAGTCTCCTTCTCCGTTTTTTCTCCTCTGGACACTGAATAATCTTAACGCCCAAAAAAACATTCTGACAAATTCATTCAGTCAGGTACCAGAAACAAAGTACTCTGAGCACATACAAACAAGTACACAAATGTGTTTTCAGATTATCCTGGTGCTCATTAAATAAGAAGTCCTTTTGACTGGGGATACCAGCTTTTTGCAGTTAATTTACCTGTTCCTCCCTGACAAAATTTCACAGGTATCACACAGATCTACTCTTTCTTTGGACTCCATACTTATTTTCAGGTATCAAGCTTAAAGACCTGGATGATGAGGAAAGGGGCTGCTCAGACCATCACATCACTCCGAAGGTTTCTGCTCAGGGGAAGGTCAGTGGCACTGGAGGAAGTTGGCTGTTTCTGGCAGGAGAGAACTATTGGCATTATTAGGAATAATAAAATACTTTCCATAGGGAAATCAGAAGACTAAGTCCTTGAGAGGGAAAAAAAGATTGTCTAGAAAAACAGCTC